AACAAAACTTTCTTTTGAAATGAACATCTACTGTTTCTCTTTCTTTTGATTTGTTATTGAATACACAATACATTGTTTGTTCTGTTGTGTTAAAATTAGTCTGAAGTTCCATTTAAACTACAGGGTCTCTTGCTTTAATCTTTTTTTGAAGAACGACATTAAAACAAAATGCACCTTGTATTTTTCCCAATTTGAAAACTTTACAATAAACATTTGTATACTCCCATATGCCATTTCCACTGCATATCATTACATTATTAATGTTGAAAGAATGATTTGAAATTTGAAATTTTAGCACAAGAAAAAATTTAAATATCTCTAAATTTTGTAAGATTAAAAAAAAATTTCAACTTTTTTTCAATTTAAAAAATTCTGCCTGTAAGGCCAATATAAGTTCAAAAATGTGAGGCCATAAAATCTATTTCTGAAGGAGTATAAAAATGACATTTTATCTTTATATTTTGGGGAGTTTCGGCACTGTCAAAAAACATGTGCATATTTAATATATATCGAATGAACATGACTTAGTAAGAAAATCCAGCCAGTTCCAATTGAATAATGTTCTACTAAACATGCTAAAAGCCATCAAGGTGCACAACATTCAAGTAAGGTGAGTTGTAAGCTACATGTAGGATCCATGAATACATGTACACATGATTTCAATATAATGGAATTAATCTGTCTTCATCTGTATGCAGTGACAGAGAACTACAATAAATCTGAGTGTTCCAATATTTGAAACTTTTGATAATGATGATGTTGATATTGTGCACTACAAATATGATAAAAAAAACTCTTAGGCTTAAAATTTAATTAAATTTAATTTTATGGAAGAAAAGATTATTTTTTATTATTAAAATCTTGAGGAAGAGATATCCTTTTGATATAAATACTTTCAATGTCCAAAACAAATTCCCACGTTACGTTTTAAAAACAGACACACTCCGATGAGAGTGTTTATTTTGTTTGCTTTCTCTTCTATTCCTTTTGTTAGTTTTAGGATTAAAAAAAATTTAAAAACAGAGAGATGTCAATAGCAGGTATTGTGGACTCAGAGATACAGGTAATTAGGGTCATGTCAACCATCTTATCTGTGACATACAATTTGTCACTCGTGTTGACCTCAGCTACTATATCAAACTTAAAAAATATAATTGATACTCAAGTTATATGCTGTGATAAATATTGAACTAATTGATTTATTGGGAATTATAATGTTGTGCCGAAAGCTTGACTCAACAAGTATTTTTTTACAATAAGTTGTATATAATATACCACTGACTCTTAAGAAGTATGAGGGAATTATAACTAATATTTTACATGCAACCTTATTTAAGTTTCATTTCAATACATAACATGTTGTTTTTCTTCTACACACAATAGAAGTTATAGACACCTTTTGAGCTAATAACCTTAATTAAAGAAAAGAACGAGGTATTTAAATATGTGTCAATAACACATTAATTTAATGATTAGATCTTTTCTATCCTAATCCTATACTTCTTTCAAATTGTTCTAAAAGGTTTAGGTTTTCACAGAACTTTAATATTTCAATTAGTATTTTCCAGATCTCAATAAATATGTTAAAAGCATATTTGATGAGCAATGATATATATATCCTAAAATTCGAGTTTAACACCTATACTAAAACCTGTTTACTTTTTTCATTTCTTTGCAAAATGTTTATGGAAATTAATTACTTGTCAAAATTTGATCGGCCCCAAAGCCATTTGAAAAATAATTAACAAATCTTAGTAAAACAAAATACATTGTCTGTTTAGTTCTCAGTGTGACCATTTGAATAACTGGATGGGGAGGAATATGATATTTTTTTGTTATTTAAAGTATTTTTTATCCGCCATTTTCAGGAATAATTGTTCGTTTTTAAGGCAATACTACATGAATTTTTATTTTAATAAAATGCTTCGCTGGGGCGCAGCTTGATACGACCGCAGAGGTCGAACCCTGAACAGTTGGGGCAAGTATGGACACAACATTCAAGCTTGATACAGCTCTGAATTTGGATTGTTATTAAATATTTGACACAGCATAGGTTTCTGACACAGAAAGAATGTGGTCTAAGAACTTGAATTTTTTTAATTTACCTATTATGGTCCAATGTCCAAAATCAAAATACATGGTTAGATTCAACATATCAAAGAACCCCATATATTCAATTTTTGTTAAAATCAAACAAAGTTTAATTTTGGACCCCAACTTGGACAAACTTGAAAACTGGGCCCATAATCAAAAATCTAAACACATGTTTAGATTCAGCATATCAAAGAACCCCAAGAATTCAATTTTTGCTAAAATCAAACTAAGTTTAATTTTGGACCCTTTGGACCTTAATGTAGACCAATTTAAAAAACGGGACTTAAAATTAAAAATCTAAATACACGGTTAGATTTGGAATATCAAAGAACCCCAATAATTCAATTTTTGATGAAATCAAACAAAGTTTAATTTGGACCCTTTTGACCTCAATATGAACCAATTTGATAGCGGGGCCCACAAATAAAAAATCTAAATTCATGGTTAGATTCAGCATATCAAAGAACCCCATATATTCAATTTTTGTTGAAATCAAAAAAAGTATAATTTTGGACCCCAACTTGAACCAACTTGAAAACTGGGCCCATAATCAAAAATCTAAACACATGTTTAGATTCAGCATATCAAAGAACCCCAAGAATTCAATTTTTGTTAAAATCAAACTAAGTTTAATTTTGGACCCTTTGGACCTCAATGAAGACCAATTTAAAAAACGGGACCCAAATTAAAAATCTAAAAACACGGTTAGATTTGGCATATCAAAGAACCCCAATAATTCAATTTTCGATGAAATCAAACAAAGTTTAATTTTGGACCCTTTTGACCTCAATATGAACCAATTTGATAGCGGGGCCTACAAATAAAAAATCTAAATACATGGTTAGATTCAGCATATCAAAGAACCTCATATATTCAATTTTTGTTGAAATCAAACAAAGTTTAATTTTGGACCCCAATTTGGACCAACTTGAAAACTGGGCCCATAATCAAAAATCTAAATACATGTTTAGATTCAGCATATCAAAGAACCCCATATATTCAATTTTTGTTGAAATCAAACAAAGTTTAAATACTGGACCCTATCTTGGACCAACTTGAAAACTGGGCCCATAATCAAAAATCTAAACACATGTTTAGATTCAGCAAATCAAAGAACCCCAAGAATTCAATTTTTGTTAAAATCAAACTAAGTTTAATTTGGACCCTTTGGACCTCAATGTAGACCAATTTAAAAAACAGGACCCAAAATTAAAAACCTAAATACACGGTTAGATTTGGAATATCAAAGAACCCCAATAATTCAATTTTAGATGAAATCAAACAAAGTTTAATTTTGGACCCTTTTGACCTCAATATGAACCAATTAGATAACGGGGTCCACAAATAAAAAATCTAAATACATGGTTAGATTCAGCATATCAAAGAACCCCATATATTCAATTTTTGTTGAAATCAAACAAAGTTTAATTTTGGACCCCAATTTGGACCAACTTGAAAACTGGGCCAAAAATCAAAAATCTAAATACATGTTTAGATTCAGCATATCAAAGAACCTCATATATTCAATTTTTGCTAAAATCAAACAAAGTTTAATTTTGGACCCTTTGGACATTAATGTAGACCAATTTGAAAACTGGACCCAAAATTAAAAATCTAAATACACTGTTAGATTCGGCATAACAAATAAATAAATGTGATCAAAGATTTTACAAATCTAATGCGCCATACTGTGCAATTAAAGATTACTTCTTGAAATTTTTCAATATTTGAAATTTGAAAAAAAAAAAATATTTGAAGAATAATTCTTTTTAATTTCTGAAATCTGAAATGAGAAAAAAATTGGCCCCCCCACAATTTCTTTTTATCCCCCCCCCCCCTTTTTCCCCCAAAAAAATTCTTTCCCTCAAGATATGGTCATAATCTCAATTCAAATTTCCAATGGAGTTGGCAACCATAATTACCCATTTAAATTTACCATAGTGCTAACTTAATCTATTTTATAATAGAATTAATAAAAATATAGTGTCAAATCTTTCATATGGATTTTTTTGTAAAAAAAAAAGATGAAAACATTTGCAGATATTTTTACTGGTCTTCCTTTATAAATATGCATTTCTTTAAACATAATTTAAAAGCAGTGTAAGGGAAGTAACCAAAACATTGTATTTGGATTACCTCCCTTACACTGTTTTAGATTATCTTTATGTTCATTAACCATTACTTTATACATAATTTAAAAGCAGTGTAAGGGAGATAATTTCAATGATGTATTTGATTTATCTCCCTTACACTGCTTTAAATTATGTTTTGTACTAAAGTATTTGTCCATTAACCAGGACAACCTTGTTTTTCCCCCTTTTTTGCCCCTAATTCCTAAACGGTTTGAGCCATAACCCCCCAAAGCAAATCCTAACCATCCCTTTGTGGTATGGAAACTTGTAGTATAATTTCAGAGAGATCCATACACCGTTCCACAGTTATTGTCTGGAAACTAGAAAATGCTAATTTTTGGCCCCTTTTTGGCCCCTAATTCCTTAACTGTTGGTACCATAACCCCCAAAATCAATCCCAACCTTCCTTTTGTGGTATTTAACCTTATGGTCAAATTTCAAAAAGATCCATTCACTTAAACTAAAGTTAGAGTGCGAAACCAATATGTATTCGGACGACGACGCCGGACGACGACGCCGGACGACGACGACGACGACGCCAACGTCATACCAATATACGACCACAAAATTTTTTTGCGGTCGTATAAAAATAACTATATACAAAATGCTATTTGGTATATTTATATTCAACCTGAATTTGGAGAAATTTATTTTCACTTCATGATTTCTCCAGCCTAGATATTACAGGATAAGAATAATATCCCATTCAAAAATTAGAAGAAGTAGTCATCTAACTCATGTCTCTCCCCATACTTCACCAACACCTTAACTCACCAGTTGCTGAGGAGCATACTGTGGGGAATGAGGCTCTCCAGTAGAGTCATAACAATAATCAAATGTAAAAGTTTTTATCCTTTCTCTACTATCTCCATATTCTGCTTGGCTGTCTACCTACAATCATAAAATAATAATTTCAATAAATATACATCATTTAATGACCTAATAAAAAAAACCTTTTGTTCTTTTCTCTTCTATTGGGGCGGGGGTATCTAACTATTCTGCATGTTCTGTAAGAATTTTGCTCACGTTACAGGCGGAACAGAGGTCAGTAGTTGTTTACATTGTTGTCCTTTGGTGGAAAGTTGATTACCATATCTCCTTATTTTGATACATACATGAATATCAAAGATGGTAAGATGAAATTTTGTGTAGTAAATTCACAATCATTTTCATCATTGATGACTGATGTGACATTCATTATATGCATCATTTGTTAGAGATATCTTTCTTTTTTCAGAAGGAAGGGGTCATTACTAAAGCCATAAAATAAGTCTGCTAAATAGAGTATCCCTTTACATGTATCTTACATGACTCAGGTGTATCTTGGTTTTTTTGTGACATTGGGTTGCTGTCTTATTGTTCAGTCACATTGACATAAACACCACAACTTAAACTATTAATAATATTATTAAGACCTGTTTTCAAATCTCAGTGCAGATAAAAATACAGACCAACATGTACATGTGTATACATGCAGTTAAGGCAAAGACTTCAACAGACATCTACATATCTTTATCAAATGTTTATCTGAAGGGAAAACTGCAAAAGGTTTAACTTTAGGCAAAAACAAGTTAATTTTGAATACTTTCTGTATACTTGTACTATATATGTTGGGATCCTAGAATTTTAGTATTATGAGTATTTACATTATTAACCTTGTATCCTGCTTATACATTGTATAATGGAAAAGATTATTTTAACATTGAAAAGTGAATTCAAGAAGCCTTTTTATTGTTGAATTATGTCCAGGACATCCCTGTGTATAGTTTTAACCCTGGAGTGATTTTTGGCAGGAAATATTTGAAATGACACAGAAGATAACATCACTGATGTTTGGACAAGGACTTAAATCTTGTGACATATCAATAGGAATCTACCACTAAATCAACAAGCAATAGATTTTTGGTGTAAACACAATTCATCTAATGTAAATCTGGTCCAGGATCTTTTAATTTCATTCTTACCCTGGAATGTATATATATATACATGTACTGTAGTTTTTTTTAAATATGAATTTTTCTAAGAGGGGGATTTGATTTTTAATTTGACAAAATTTTGTAGTACATTGTATATCTATATGTAGGTTTTATAATGCCTATTGACTTTCCTTTCCAAGTTTTCTTGTATATTAAATTAATCCTTAAATGGAGATTTATACTGCAGAAACTTCCTCAAGCAATTAATGATGGTTGGCTGCTTAATGTCCAGTGGCAAATTAACTGCATATTCAGGACGAGAAACATGTTAAAGTTTTTTTGGTGGCCTTGGGCTGTTTTCTGCTCTTTGGTCAGGTTGTTGTCTCTTTGACACATTCCCCATTTCCATTCTCAATTTTAATGTGATACATGTATGAATATGAACCCTGCATTTTACTAGACCAACACCATGAGCCAGACTTATAAATTGTCTTGATCTTGCTGTAGGTGTGAGCTTATCAGCTCATCTGTGATCACCTTCCAGCGACTCTTTAAGATGAAGAACAGCAATAAAAGCAGTATTTCTTTTGATTCATTAATTATTTCCTTATATTTAAAGAGTTTTTGTCTCTTGTACAATCCACCCAGTATCCTCTCTTTCCTGTTGATTCATTGTCATGACTCGTTGGATACCAATTTTCAAGGATTTCGTGTGTAAAGGTGGACAAGGAATTTAAGTGTTCAACAAAGTACATATCTATTATAGGCTTGTAAAATGTATACAGACTTTGACAAAACCATGAAATCAAAATTCCAACAAAAATACAATTTTTTTTCTCAATCCACAAACATTGATGCCCAGGAAAATAAATGAATCCACTGTGTGAGTATCATAATCAGCATTTGCTACATACATGTACCTTTGTGATTTTTGCAATATCATGCTACGGATCAACAGTCATGGCAGTCAGTAGCATATTACATGTATATTGATTTTAAAACTTTGCATGCTCTATTATATTCACAGTTATATCATAGTTCAATAAAAAGGATTATAAGAACATACAAAAATAGAAAACAATTATCATTTTTTTCCTTTAAAATTTGCATATATATTACAAAAAGTGAAATGTAAATACTTGATCATTTTAAATACTAGAGTGTCTAATCATGCTAATTTTCAGTTTCAATACCTAGGACATTTCAAAGGAAATATTAGCATAAATTTAACATTTAAAGCTTCACAACTGTCAAGAATTGTAACATACACGATTTTCAAATACATGGGCATGTATGATATTTCCATAACACATTCTTCATACATTGTATATAAATACAATACAAAATGATCATGATGATAGCAGATTTTTAAATTTGCTAGTCTATGACAATTTTTGTGTAGATCATTCAAAATAGTATCAATGTAGAAAAAAATCTTTTATTTTTCATGGTATTAAAAAAATGGTTCCACTCCATGGTTTTAAAAATCTGCCGTTATTGAATGAATTCCAAGGTGTAAACTGTTATAATATGGATCACAGGATTACCTGTGTTGGTTGTACAAAATAGGGCATTCTCTTTAACATAGTTTAAGCATGTAATAATAAAAATATTTATGATATTACAAAAACCTATTGTCTTGTAGGCGGCAGTTAATATGTGATAAACCATGATTAATTTTTTATGGAGTTACGCCAAAACTGCCCTTTTATTTCAATGCAGTTCGGGTTTTAAGGTCATTTTCAAGATATGACAAACACTGAGTGTACATGTATAGGGGTTAACTAATACTAAAAACGTCACAGCAAGGGGAAACCAGATTTACAAAAATTATTGATTTTTTGGTTACACTTTCAAAATTCATTTAGTAGATATATAATTTATGATCTAAGGATCGTACTGTTGCAAGCTACATGTAATGCATTATGGATATAAATCTAATACTGGCAACAATCCCATCAGTGACTTTTAATTTTTGAATTTATCATACATGTACAATAACATGATGAATGTATTTTTCTCTTCAAATTTAACATGTTTAATGTCAGTCAAATTGTACTGCTCAAAAATTAAATTCAACAATTATAGAACACCAGCCTACATGTACATTGTACATGTACATTTACTGTCAAACTTTTAAAATACAATTTGTAAATACAAACTTCATAATTTCAAACGGAGTTAAATTACATCAATAATCGTAATAATTAACGAATGCAGATTTAAGTGCAATGTACATGCATGTGTAAAATGTATCATATGACACAAACATGTTCTAAATCAATATTGCCATCACTTGAAGCATCGTAATATGAAATAACTATAGTTTCTCAATCAACCAATAGAAAAATAAATAATAAAGCTGCTGTACATGCTGTAGCTCTAGGATAAAATTTTAAACAATCGAGAAATACAATACATTGTGTGTTTAGGTACATTTTGTAACATCCTTTACACATGTAATTGTATATTCAGTTCATTTGCATAACATAAATTATATTTCATTGACTAAATCAATAAATGTAAACAACAACAATAGGTTTATAGTTATGATAGTGATAGGATAATCATCTAAGATCATAATAATATCAGAGGAAACAAATAATGCAAATAACTATTTGTCCAGTTATAAAAATAAAAACATACATGTATCTTAAAAAAATAATACTGGCCGAGAAATGTTTTTGTTAATATAATGATAATATTTCCTAATGAATAATTCTTTACTTTTAATATGGTAGCATTAGCAATATAAGTGCTCAACTCCCTGTCTGAAATTGATGAATAACAATAAACCCTTATAGGTAGAAAGAGAAGTAGGCACCCATTGATTAAGCAAACATATATGCATTGGTCCTGCTGGGGCGTTTAAAAGCCCCAAACCCCTTTCTTATTATGGTGACCACCGGTCCCTTAAATTCGGTATCCCCACATATTTACCTAGTAACTTCCTATGACGAAATGCTGCAAAGTTTTGACTTAATGGAAAATTGTGCATTTTCTGCCTTCAATGTACAAACTAGGAAGGTATAAAAACTTCCAAAACGTGACTTATATTGTCTTACCTTGATATTCGTTACACTAATAGCATCCCCATTTGTATCCACGATATTTTTGCCATTTTGTTCTAATTCTCTGTAAATATAAAACACAAAATTTTATGTTATATCCTCAGTAAATGACAGCTGTGTCTGCATTGATTAGCGCGTATAAAAAACTTAAATTTATATATTACAGTTCTCTGAAAACTTTGCTAACTTTTACCTTTTATTTATTGGACGAACTCGCACCGCTACTTTAACATTCGACATCGTATCATTTTTTATCCATTGTCTATTTTTGTCCTCCAAATAAATAAATACATTATAAAGAACGATTCCAAACTGTTAGAAAAGTTTAATCTCACAGCTCCCACAATATTCCAAATCAACTTTGTTGATCACGGTCATTTAACTACTCGATCATAATCATTGAAGCGTTTGACTCAAAGGTAAAAAAACCTATAAACACCAAGGTGCGCTCGTTTGTAATATTAAATGCCATATCAAGAAAATATTGATATACAGACGTACACTTTTAAAGATTATATATATAAATTAATTAAAAAATTAATTACAGAAACTTGAACATAGAAATGAAAGATAATAAGTCCTAACAATAATTATGTTTTATTTCAATTTTTTTTCTGACCTTGACCTCACTATACGGGTTCGAATAATTGAATGAACGTATAAGCCTTCATTTTTCTTATAATTATCGATCAATTTTAACGATTACTATCTGTTGGGTTTGAATGTGTCTTCTGTTTCTATTTCAAAATCTGTCTCAGGTTTTATCTCTATCGATTTATAAATGAGTTTCGAACAGCGGTATACTACTGTTGCCTTTATTTTCATCTGGGAACAGTATATCTAAGTCAAGTCCCGTCAATATATATGTTCCTGTTTTCATGGACCTTTGGTCATTGTTTTTGGTTGTCTTTTCTCCTTAGGGAACGACCATTTAACCTCAAAGGGTTGGGTTATGGTTTTTTCCTAAAAAAAATATTCTGATCCCAATTTGATGAAAAAAAATATTGTGGTCAAGCAGATGACAAAAAAAAATATTCTGAATCCAGATTTTCCCCATACCTTATAGTGTTTAATTTTGAAAAAAAAACACTTTGATTGATAGCGTTGAAAAACTAAAAAAAACGTCGCACTTTGCATGAAAAAAAAATTCTGACTCAGACAAAAAACCATACCCCCCTATGAAGTTAAATGGTTACTCCCTTAGGGAGCCACCATTTGATTTTTATTGGGGGGGGGGGGGGGGGGGGGGGGGGGGCTAGGATGAAATTTGAAAAAAAGGCAGGACAGGAGTTTTGAGTAAAAAAAAAAGGCAGAATGAGCAACTTGGCAAAAAAAAAAAGGCAGGATGACAATTTATGTAAAAAAAAGTCAGGAAAACTAATAAAAAAAAAGGCAGGACCGAATAGAGTGAAAAATAAAAAGGCAGGACAGAGATTACAACTAAAAAAAATGCAGGACAAAATTTTTCATCCTAGCCCCCCCCCCCCCCCCCCCCCCCCCCCCTAAAAAAATCAAATGGTAGCTCCCTTATGTCAAAAGGCTGCATGGTGCTCCTCAGCATGATTTATTTCTGTCTATTGTATATCTTTGAATTTTATATACAATTATAAGGACACAATAAAAAATACATTCTGAACACTTAACTCTATTAAGTTCAATAATATTGTCACAATTTAAAACAATACTATATATACCATTTTATAAATAGAAAATTTCAATTTACAGGACGCCTAGATAAGTATTTACCATGTAAATAATGAGGCAAGTGGCAAGGGCATAGAAGGGGAGGGGCAAGGCAAACTATGTTTTTGCCCCACTCACTTTTTGACAAAAAATTATTGAAAATTAAAAAAAAAAAAAAAAATAAAAAATGAAACAAAACACTGGCTTAATTCTAGACTAATAGACTAGATTTTTTTGATACCTCTGAATGTAACCAGTGAAAGAAGATGACCTGGATGTTACTTTTTGGTTATCATATACATTTGTACTGTAATTTCAAAAGTTTTCACATTAATTATTGTGATAGAGGAATTATGGGTAAAAAGTTTGATTTATCATGTGATTTTAAAAAGGGATTTTAAAAAATGCAGCAAACAAATCAGTGGGGGATCTAGAATTTTTTGCAATAATAAAAATATTGCAAAAGTTTCAAAATTTACAGTTTATAAATTCCCGGGATATTGTATGCTTTACATCATGGCAATCCCTTTCAACGGGTAAGTTCAAGTGCAAACGTAAAAAAAGTTTTGGATTCACTTGTATCGACTTGTATATTTATTTTCTATTTATTGATTTTCGACTGTTATGAGGTACCTCCTCTATTTATCTAAACAGCAAGCAAGCTCACAGTTCTTTATTATTTCATAATGCCATGATACCTTTAAAGTCAGGGTCTGTCTTTATAGCAGAATGAAACAAGAACTCTGTTATATCATGGAAGTAAAATGAATATGATACTTCCATGGTTATATGAAGCTGAATAATAATCCATTGTATAAAGAATTGGCCCGATTAAAAACAACTGGTATTAATGTGACTGGTTCAATAGTTACAAATTATAAAATCAAAAGTTATTTTTAAATGTTGAAAAGAACCAGCATGAAACAGTACATGTATACCTGTTAAAATTCACATATCAATATGTATGGCCATTTCATAAATTGCAGAATGCACTAAAAATTGATGTGGGGGAGGGGTCCATGGAAAGTTGAAGGGAAATAAAGTTTTTTGTGCTTTCCTTGATTGTTTTTTTTTTTTGTTTGTTTATAACAAGAAAAAAAAATATGTTAATAGTAATCTTTTTTTGTGATTGATTTTATTGAAATTTAATACTACTTATAAAGTATCTTATACTTTACAAGCTTTTAAATTAGTTCTGGATGGAATTGGGGATCAGAGACAAAGATTAAACCCTCTATCTTCATCACCACACACAACTACCTATTCTGCTGCCTACGGTCAATTTCTTGAAAATAATTATGTAAAAAATGATAAAAAAATATTTAGAAAAATTTAGAAATATGAATATCAAAAATTTGAAACATGACCCACAAAACAATAGAACAGATAAATATGGCTTATTAAAAATGAAAGGCTAATATATACAAATATGCCTAAGTGGTATTGCATGGTGCATATAAAATTTGATTTAATAATATTCTTCTGAAGGGATTAGTAATGACAGTTATGCTTAAAATATAAAACTTGTATTCTTTTACACCAAAAATAGTAAAAAAAACTCCTTTTGGATGTTTATCCACTATACTCAGTGTAAAATCTTGGAAATAAAAACTAGAAGATTAGAAAAATGTCAGAAATATGTCTCATCTGTACCACAAGAAATAAAGGAACAAATACTTATAATAACAAATAAAGTTAATATTATTAGTAATGCTAATAGACAAAAAGCAGACTGATGTAGAAAAGTAAGGTCTTGTGTTAAAGGGTATAATTTTCTCAAAGAGAATTATTTTCCCTAAGAGAAGGAGCGAAACATAGAATTCAATTCTTTGGATTGTACACTTACTAATCAAAGGGAGATAATAAGAAAACAAATATTTAAGTAAATAGTTTTTAAATCCCTTGCATAATTTAAGGAGAATTCTCTGTATGTTGCAAATAGTTTTTGGAATATGTTTAATAAACACTAAAAAGGAGTATGATAACATGTTACAGTTTATGAACAAATAAACTGTTCTACTTTTGACTTTTATTCAGTGTTAAATATTGATGATATATTCCAGACAATGTGCAACATTATGGCCATGTTTGTAGGCAGTAAGGGTCATCAGACTCATTTTTAAAACTAAGATTCCCTATGATGATTGTGGCAAAGTTTGGTTAAATTTTGCCCAGCATATTTAGAGGAGATGATTTAACAGAAGTTAACGGACGAAGATGACAGATGACAGATGACGGCCACTAAGTGATGGCTAAGTAGAATGTGTTCTTTGAAACAGATATCCATGTCCCAAAAGATGGCAGTGTTCAGAAAGCAGAACCACTTGCAAAATGAAAATCAGAAATCAAACTTGACAATAATGTTGTCTATTTTCCATCTTGTTAAAGGGAAAAACCTGAGAAAGACATGTGAACATGGTGAAATGTACATGTATGTATAAATTCATTGCATTGCATAAATATATTAAATGATTTCATAACTGCATGCTCAAGGTACTGTACTGCAGAACTAAGAACAAATTAAGCAACAAAAAATAAAAAGTGTATCAAATGCAATCACGACCCATAAAGAAAAGAAACCATAAATTTGTCTGCTTTCCACATTACATTGGGCATATCTTTTGACAAATAAGTGTGTCAAATATGAAATTAACATGTGTATTGTCCCCTGTTTAGTGGTAGAATTGTATTGAAATAGCAATGGCTTTTATTGTATATGGTCAAGATATTGATCAGAAATTAAAAAAAAAATGAATATTTTCTGCATTATTACAGGACATAACTTTAAAATGATATATGAAATGTGTCAAGTTCAAACCTAACCTGTGTTGAATGCTTCCTAACACCGTGATATAACTGTAATGATCTCATAAAAGTATACACAGATCTATGAATGGACAGAAATCAAATTTATTTTTTAGTATTATCAAGGGACATAACTCTTGAATGACACATCTGAAATGAGTAAAATCAATACTCAACCTGTATTTTATAGGTTCTAAGCAGTGAGCTAAATTATCAAATTATTTTGTTCAATCATTGTCATAAATTTGAGCAAGAACCTCAATTTGAGGGTAATTACACTTAATACAGGCATAAAAGAGAGGCGGAAGAAATTAAAGGTATAGTCAAACTCATAAGTTGAAAATGAACAAACATTGCAACTGTAAAAAATAAAAAGCAACATACAAGTCTATAAAACATAACATGAAGGCTGAGCAACGAACCCCTCCAAAAACTGGGAGTGATCTCAGGAGCTCCGGAAGGGTTAGCACATCTTTTAAACAAACTAGTGCTGGTATCAGGTGCTCTGGGAGGGTAAGCAGATCATGTTTCACATGTGGTACCTACTGTGTTGCTCATATATGTACAAACCTGGTGATAAGTCTAATTATGTAGGTCACTTTTGAGGAAAAGATGACAGGATTGTGGTCATGACAATTGGAACATATCCTTCCTCCTCTGTGAAACAGATATTCTATAACAATCAATTAACTTGTGATGGTGTCGGTAAGATTTCAGCTACACCACATGGAAGAGGGTAGAAGTGCCCTTTACCGTCTGGCGTCAAACCATCATTTTCGGCTACCGTTCGTGTCAATTTGGTTAAAATTTTATCGTGATTCATCAGAGGTCTCAAATGATTATCTGTTACTGTATTTTTTTAAAAGAATTTAACGTGATTTGTCAAAATCAGTCGATTTTCTTATCGTCATAAAGAAAATGTACATTTTATCGTCATACTTCAAAAACTACCATTTACAACTTTTGGCAAGATTCTATATCGTTATCCGTCATTAAAGGTACCCCTATGGAACTCTTGGTTTAATAGCTTTCAGGTAAGCTGCAACTCTCTTTGCAAAAATATCATGATAGGAAATGCAAGCTCTGGAATATCATATCAACTGGGAGATATCTACTTCATATACAGGCGCTGCTGGAATATTGTAACATAATTCTCAAATGAAAGAAGATAAAAGTGTTTGCTTGACATTAGCCTGTGTTTATTAGTTCCTTATAATGTGTTCCAAAATTCCAAATGATATCACAGAAGCATACTCCGTGAGTAGAAACCTAAAATATAGCCCACAATATCATCTGAAATGACTCCAGGTTATAATCTTTAGCCTGGTACCTATGATGAGTTTATTTGTTTATTTTCCATACTACCAAGGGGCATTACTCTGGAATAGCAAATTTGAAAACTGTCAAAATATGTGTTGACCAATGTGAAGTGGTCCCTAACAATATTTCAAAATTATTTCAAAACCAATTCTGTGACCTACTGACATATGAATGGACAAAGGTAAACTTTATTGCACTGGACACTTTTGGTAGCGACATAAAGCTGTACAAAGTACAACTAAATAATCACACAAAATAAAATTTTGATTGAATTTTCTTCATAGAGTGATGCTGAATAAACTCACTTACATATGATGCAAACAGTATCTTTAATATCACTTATCATAGAAGATGAATTATTAATCATAAAAGAATATTGCAAGGTTAGTCATTTTATTCATTATCTGTATGTTGGAGTGGCACACCTGAAATTGTAACTGTTTTGGACAAGAGCTTACATTTTTAATAGCTTTAGACATCTACTAATGACAATTTAACATTTCACTCATCAGTTCTATTTCTAGAATAGAAATTATTGCCCTCATAACTCCAATAAGGTATATGTTTGCCAAAAGATAGATTGTTTCTTGCTTAATGTCCAGTGGCAATGATTTCTTGCATATTTTGAGGACAATCAATATAAAGAACAAAAGGCAACATCGCTTAAAATCTTTAATTTTTGTGCATGTATTTCTACAACATAGTGAAGTAACAAGATAAAGAGATATAAAAAATATCACAATGTAAACAGACAACAGATAAAAGTTATGAAACAACTAGCCTAATTTTTTACAGGTTTTATAATTAACAGGGCAAAATAGACAACAATGTGTATTAGTACCTCATTCTTATCAAGGCAATTTTTAGGTATATAATACAAATATTAATTTATCTAATAACAGTTTTATTAAATTCTAAATTAAAAGCCTGAATAAGATGGAGTGAGAAGGAATTGAAATCAAAGATATATATAGGAAAGATCCCTACAATACATGTATATTCACAGTGAAAATGTCTGATAAGTTTAAAGGGCTGTTCCATTAAAACACATATATGGTACTCAGGGATGGCACTTTGAGAATGAGCTAACCATCTATAGAGGCAATTTTAACCCATAGTTGAGATTTCAAAGGGAATTCCCTGGTCTCATAAATGCTTTTTATTAAGCATCCCAAAGAGTTTTAAGCATTGATTTCATGCATTGAAATTTGGAAAGAATAGGAATTAATTGGCTAATGACTTACAGTGAACTTTATAAACATTCTAGCTTGTAAATGAATATATCTTCCTCAATTGTTCATGAATTTTAAATTTGCATTGGCAATGTACCATTTTCATTTACAGTCACATTTAAGTACAGTCCAAATAAAGCTATGTAAAATGAAATATATGTTCTGATCTTGCATCATTGATTGTATACATGGATAGAACACAATTTTACAACACATTTAAAATACATTCTTTGCAGGAAAAATTAAAGCATAAACAACCAATTTTTTTTTATCCTATGTTAATTATAAAATATTATTTATATTTCATGCTTAAATGTGAGATTCAAACAGTTACACTCACCCTCATGTAACAAGGAAATAACATACATATTGCCGAGTATATACTCTGTGCATTTGTGTAGATCAATGTATTGCACCATTGCGACCATCAAATTGTTGCATAAAATTCTGAGTATGATTCATCAAATATATACGAATGTTTTGAGTACATGTACATGTAAACTGTAAATAGACTTTGGCTAAAAGTTACTTTTTGGTCACAATTTATGTAAATATTGAAATGTGTTACATGAATATTAACAAAACAATTCAGTCTAATAAATGATAAGATGGGTTAGAAAATTTTGTAACTTTGATAAACAAAATCATTCACTATCCAAATATTATTGTAGCGCTCTGTTATCTATGCTTGATTCTTAGAAATATTTTTCCTTTAAGCTGAATTGTGTGGTTTGGAAGGTAGTTTCTCATTTGAAATTCAGGCAAACTTTGGTTCCTTGAGAGTGGGGAAAATTTACATTCAATATCAATTTTACCAAGCATATGGCTTGAATAACCTTTATAATGTTATCCCTTATGGAATGCTAACAATATAATCCAAACAAAGATAGCAAATAATGTCGCTTTGTCAGAGAAAAGATGTCATCTAGCATTGTATTATCAATTTATGCCAGGCAGTTTCATTTATTTCATTCATTCTCTATTTTTTCACAACCCTAAAAATAGTTAAGAATAACAAGACATATGGAATGTTTGAAAAGATTAAACAATATACAACTTACATACCATTTATACCTAATAGTGTAATTCACATGTTTAAAATCAATTTTCTAGCAAATTGTAAGTTCTACTTCAATTGCATTTAAAGCTATTTAAAAACAGTCATTACTTGGCAATTTTATCAAAATATCAACCATATCTAATTAGCCTAAAATAAATCAAAATAAAATTGCTCACGTGCAAGAAAACTGGTTAATACATATATGATTTACATTGCAATGTAACACATACATCTTACATTAGTTGTTCTCAACTATTACTATACAAACAAAATATAACAATAAAGAGAAATATATATAAAAAAGTCTAACAAAAATGAACACTAATTTAAAGGAACTTTGGTTTTTGTCTCTGTGAGTTAACATTTACTCGAAAGAAAGACACTGATCATATTTTTATTTGATTTTGTGCGTAAACAGTAAGTAGTTTTTATATCACAGTTGTAAAATCACATCTTCTTGAATTAAATCATTTAGCCTTTACTCTAGTAATTTGTTTAAACTTAAATAACATAGGATGCACATATGTAATTTATAATAGGTCATCACAATTTGCCTAATTCATCCCCTTCCAAATTTGCTCTAATAAAACATAATATAAGACAATGGAGCATAAAATGTAGGTCTGAATGACTTACTTGAAGAGATTTCTCTCCTTAGGGACATCCCTATAATACGTTTTATGATAACAGTAACATCTTTGTATAAAGGTCACCCTGGGGAGAAAGTAAAACTGACCTTAAACGAGAGGCGACCTTTGAATTAAAGTTCAAAATGCGTAGGTAGAGAGCACTTGCAAAGACAGGTTTTTGCTTGATAAAGATGACTTTTATAGCAGGTTTGACCGTACATGGTATTTAGAATCTTTGAACTGCATTTGGTAATATTTATAAGATTCTGTACAATAAATAAATTTGAGAATAAGCTGTTTATGTAGATAAGCCTATTGACAATGCATTCTCTGAGGATATCTAAATCTTAAAATTTGATTTTTTTCAAAAATAGCTTATCTCCCTTTATAAAAGAATTGAAAGTGTAAAGAAACTTAATATGGCCATTTATATATTCATAGGGTTATATTTATTATTATATGCACTGCTTTATATCTATACATGTACTATAAAATCATATATAAAAAAACTGAACACTTTAGGTATGAAATGAAAAAAATGGATACTGCAAGAGCATTATTTAACCACAACCAGAATAAAAGATTGTCAAAAAAAATCATTAGAATGTAAAAAAAAAGTACAACAAAACAAGTCAATATAATGCACTTAGTAAAAAAAGAAGAAGAAAAAAACAATTGTATAATGTCAGATACTGGTATAACAAAACAAGTCAACATTATGCTTTAATTAAAAAAAGAAGAAAACAATTGTATAATTTAAGATACTGGTAAAGGTATAACAAAAATAATATGTAAATAAACTATATATATTCAGAGATTAACATTTTGATGATATTAATATTCTATTACCTATTTATTATTTTAATAATATTTTATAATAACCAATCCATAACTAGTAATATTCATATTTGTATTGAGTATATGTGCTTATTTTGTGTAAAGAAACATCAAAATATTTCATTGGGACTATCTTAATTTGTCGGTTATTAACAACATATCACAACAATGTGAGTATACATTTCATTTTTCAGTTAAAAACATTACTGATGCATGAAAGATACTGGACCCAGTGTCTTAGTCAATAATAAAGAAGACAGAGCAAATAAAGTCAAAGTTTACAAAACTTTCAATGAAAATATACATCTTATTTAGCTGTAAGGTCAATAACAATTTTAGTTTTCCAAATAACTTAATATGACGACAATTGTCAACATGTAAAAACAGGTAAAACTTTTTTAATGACTATCAATTTTCCTAGGGTAATAATATTTCTTTCACAAAGTATGCAATTTTGACAAGAAAAATTGTTAAAAGGAGAACAAAAACAACAGAATTTTTTATAACAATAACTTTGTAAAATGCCACAAATTCACATCCTGTGTTCAAATCAAGACTCCAATAGCACGTGCCAGCGACAAACTTGATCACCTTTGTTTTCCCTCATGTCTGTCCAATGAGAAAGCTCTTCTTCACCGCTACTGTTCAACCCTGAAGAAAAATTAAGATTTCATAAAACTGTTAAATATTTGCCTTTAGACCTTAAGCAACCAACAATCAATCAATACTCCTGTTAAGAGCATAAGTTTTTAAATGATAATGGGTCAAACTTGTTCCCCCCACTTAATGAGTGATTACTGTGTTCACTGGGGTCCACTCTCTATTTAGGCTACAGTTAGCTGCATGTATTGACATTTTCAGTCATGCAGGTCAAGACCAGGATGAAAAATTGTCAAAATTTATGTTTTTTGCAGCAGATGACCAACTTTGGGGCAGCGTGTTGCTTACCTTAAGGTAAAGGTCAACGGTCATTCTTGAAGACAATAAAGGAACATGTGGATTGTATGTTTTCAATTTGCCTTCCTGTTATTTTTTTATGGAATGTTGTCACTTTGGCAATATTACTTAACTCCATTATTTTTTTAGTTTAATATATATAGAATACAATACATCCAATGAGAAATAGTTTTCTTGTGGCCACTTGAAATTGTGATTTTAAGAATGCTGATTTTTTTTAAATACCCAAAATGTCAGTTATTTTGAAATTGATATACAACAAACCTAATGAAAACCATCCAATCATCTCTTTTTTCTTCATACTTCTTTTGTTATACACAGAAACCATCAGGGTCACTTCAGCTAACTGAAACAATGCCACCTGGAACATGAACGTCTCCTTAAACAATGGATTTGGCTGTCCCCTTCTAACAGAGGTCTTACTTCTTGTGATTTCCTGACCAGTTGGGGACATTAAGGTTAGTTTGGCATAAGTATCTGAAATTGGAAATCATGTATAATTTAATCTATTGCTCTTGCTGTGAATATGTGTACTAAAAAAATATGCTTCCTTGTACTGTATTCAACTACTATATAAATAATTTTATTCTGATTTTTTTATGTTTAATCTTAAGATGTGCCCTTTTGAATTCCATTATTGTTTATTGCTTTTGTCATGATAAAAATTGTCTCAGATCTAATTATATATAGATATAAACTTAAAGAAAGGCCTCATCAAAAACTCAATACCCCATGCAAGTATATCTTTACAAGAAGACTTGAACTTTTCTATATATATGTTCTCTAAAAAAGCATACAATGAAAAAAATAATCAAAAATGAATGCAATATCTTTATTCAATTGAAAATTGAAAGCAGATGCTAAGGATACAATTTTTAGTGTAAGCATGTACATGAATTTTTTTCTTTCCAAAAGTTATAGCACTACAAGTGCTTTAATTTTACATGCTTTTTAAATATATTCTGATTTTTACAACCAAAATGAATGCATTAATTTTCAACTCTATAATAAACAAACAAAATAAACATTAAACAAAACTTAACAAGGAAGAGAAAATTCCTACTATCACCAAAAATCTTTAACTTAACCTCGTATTCTTATGATCGCTGGAATATCAATATATAGATTACATTTATATAACTATGGCAACAATAATGAAGTCAATGCCATTCATATTTTATCAGTTGAAAAATAAAGCAATTTTTTGAAACTGGTTAAAAAAAACCGCTGCAAGCCTATAGAAAACATGATATCTAGCAGTTTCACTTAAAGGGAGATAATTCACATTTGATAATTAACCTAATACCTTTTTACATTGTTATTCAAAACAAACTTATCTGGAGGTCATTAAAGCTGCAATTTAAGCTTCTATTTGACCTAAGACATATTGTAGCATTACTTTTATGGTAAGAAATATTATTAGTTTGGGAAGTTTCTGAAAAAAATGCTTCAAAGACCAATACCTACTTTCTTATGAAACTTCCCTATAAATTTACAGACTGTGAAATTTTAAAATGCTTTCACATGATACTGTATAATAAAAGTACCATCAAAAATGGGACAGCAAATACAGGTTGTACCTCAAAAACCTCTCAATTCTACAAACAATTGATAGGCGAAGTTATCCTTTACAGGCCTAGGGAGGGAGAAAGTGTACAGTTCAATTTGCAAGAACAGGAATTAGTTAGAGTCATTTGCAATTAATAACTTTATATACCTATATAAAATTCATGAGCTGATAAAATTTAAGACACTTTTAACTTCTATACCATTTGGTCTCTGATGGAGAGTTGCCTCATTGACAATCGTACATATCTTCTTATTTTTATATTTTTCTATATTTGAAATCTTTGATTAGTTTTTCTATAATCATCTTTCAATATTAATACACTACATTAGCAATGAATTAAGTTTACCTGGGGCTCTGTTCATGGCCATGTTTCTGAAATTACTTCCTTTTATGACTTCAACTGTCAATCGACCAGTTGTTCCATTATAACCAAGACCCAACAACAATTCTGGCATACCGCCATGCTGCATGGACTGGGTAGAAGATGCACTGTCACTCCTTGAAAGGCTGGAAACATCAAATTGGGACTCTCCACCCTAAAAATACATAGATATTTTATATTTTATAGAGATATCCACAACTTATTTGGTCAAACCTTTTTTTAGTTTTCAATCAAAATATTAAACATCATGAACCAAAATGAAATAAATATGGATAGTGTCCACAGATGATGACCCCGCTTGCATATCATATAGTTATAAAGGGACATAACTGAAGAACGGTAAAAGTGACGCTACTTAAATTTGAACTTGATCTGAGTTTTGTGGTAATAAGCACTGTGTGTAAGTCTCTTAACATTTGGTTGAGGCTAACTTAAGTAGAGAACAGAAACTAAAAATTCAGCAATTTTTCTATTTGTAAACACGCATAACTCTAGAACGGTTGTGTATAAGTTTTATAACATTTGGTTGAGACAAACTAAAGTTAGAGAACGGAAACGAAAAATTCAGCAATTTTTATGTTTATAAAGGGACATAACTCAAGAATGGTAAAAGTGTTCCCACCAAATTTCGTACTTAATCTGTATTATGTAGTAATAAGCATTGTGTATAAGTTTCATAACATTTGGTTGAGGCAAACTAAAGTTAGAAAACGGAAACAAAAAATTTGTACTTGATCTTAGTTTTGTGGTAATGAATATTGTGTATAGGTTTCATAATGTTTGGTTGGGGCAAACTTAAGTTACAGAATGGAAACTAAAAATTTTGCAATCTTTCGATTTATAAAGGGGCATAACTCAATAATGGTTAAAGTGACACTACCCAAATTCAACTTGATCTGTGTTTTATCGGTGGAAGTCAAAATTAAACATTGCATTGTATAAAGCATTGATTATAGTTGATTCAATTATAATCATGGAAAAAGAAAGATAAGGTATATGTACGATTTTAAAAATAACTTGATATTTAGAAGAAAATAAAAATTTAGCAATTTTTCCTTTTCAAAAGGGGCATAACTCTAGAACGGTTAAAGTGACGCCACCAAAATTCTAACTTGATCTGTGTTTTGTGATAATAAGCATTGTGTATAAGTTTCATAACATTTGGTTGAGGCAAACTAAAGTTATAGAATGGAAACGAAAAATTCAGCAATTCTTCAATTTGTAAAGGGGCATAACTCTAGAACCGTAAAAGCGACGCCACGAAAATTCAAACTTGATCTGTGTTTTGTGGTAATAAGCATTGTGTACAAGTTTCATAACATTTAGTTGAGGCAAACTAAAGTAAGAGAACGGAAACGAAAAATTCAGCAATTTTCCATTTGTAAAGGGGCATAACTCTAGAACCGTAAAAGTGACGCCACCAAAATTCAAACTTAATCTGTGTTTTGTGGTAATAAGCATTGTGTACAAGTTTCATAACATTTGGTTGAGGCAAACTAAAGTTAGAGAACGGAAACGAAAAATTCAACAATTTTCCATTTGTAAAGGGGCATAACTCTAGAACGGTAAAAGTGACGCCACCAAAATTCAAACTTAATCTGTGTTTTGTGGTAATAAGTGTTGTGTATAAGTTTCATAACATTTGGTTGAGACAAACTAAAGTTAGAGAACGGAAACCAATTTTGGGACGTACGTACGTACAGACGTACAAGGGTAAAACTTAATGCTCCCTCCGCTACGGTGGGGGCATAAAAATTCTGTAATTTTGTGATGTTTTTATTTGGTGGAAAATGATGAGATTAGCATCGCATTATATCAAACATGTTTTTAACATTCTGATAGCATCTTTTTGTATGCAGCATTACCTGACATATTATTAATCATTTTTTGTCTGTTGATCAACAATCACATTAATTGTTTTTATGGTAGATAATTATAAAAAGAATAGGCTGTATGAGTAAATATTCAGATATAAATATATATATCACTTAAATGTATAAATATCAGAACCGAGTTTAGTTTTCCATGTTAGTGAATTAGGTCAAAGGTTCATTCAATTAAGGCCATATCGAACTTAGGTTGAGTACTTGCATAGATGAAGTTAAATAAGCCACATCATAGTTTTATGATTTCTGGCTGTATACCTATAAATCTTAAGATAAAAATTCTAATCTTTACTTTAATTCTGATGAAACAAACAAAATTTTAAATCATGTAGAGTAATCTTCTGTTTCATAATTTGAATTTTTTACATATCACTTTACTATCAAAACCAACTATAAACTTGTCTGGATGATAAGATTCTGAAAAAAATATGTACAGTAACCAGTCTATCAAGATTTCTTGTCTTTCTTTGAAATTAACCTAGATTTCTGTATCTCCAGCTGTCAGAAAACAATATTTGCAATATTTCCTATCTGAAACTGTCAATAACATGAATCTGCGGCTTAAGTTTATTCTTTTGCAGCTAAAATATCACTATATTGAAGTTGAAAGTCCTAATATTAAAATGTATAGTACAAAGTTAGAAGCCCTGCCACAAACATTCTTATAAGCAATTTATAACTTACACTCAGGTTACTCCTGGGTTCAAGAATGACAAAATGTGTTGAAGCACTATCAAGATTCAATGAGGCAAATCCTATTATACTTTCTCCTATCATTCTCTCTCTCCTCATCCTCTCTACACCATACAGACGGATACGTATTCCCATACTATGGACTTCCTCTGAAATATAATATTAAGAAGTTGTATCAATAATGGTACCACTTTAATAAACTTCTTCCAATCCCATGAGTCTGTGTATACAAGGATCTTCAAGATTTATTTGATGTCACTTTTTTTGTGAGAAACCAGGGTTGGCAAAGTATTACCCGGGCGGGAAAACCCAGGTGGGAAACCCCAGGTTTTCCCGGGCTGGGCAATACTCCCAGAAATGGGTAATACTGGGCAATACGCTTTTTTGAGCTTATTTTTACACAAAATAGTAAAGAAACACTGTAGTTTCATAGCATTATTGCTAAAAATACACATTTTATACAGATAACCATGTCATTGAGAGTCATTTTCAGAGAATAAACAAATTAAAATCTTCCTTTTCTTTAATAATTTTATGTAGGCAGAATACCTATAAGTTTTGCTAATTTTTTGATACCTTGTTTATTTCTCAGCTTTGATTGAAAATGCATTTTAGTGTTGTGTATTAGTACAATAAACTGGAATATATAATTGATTTCAATCATATTGCTAAATATACACCCTAAGGGGACAATTCACTCACACTTAAAGAGATGAAAAGACTTATTATTGCAGTATAAACAAATCTGTGTTATAATCTAAATAATTACTTATTAATAAGTGATGTCTATGTATAAAGTTATCATGCTAAAATTGTTTCAAAAATAAAAATAGGGATGAACAAACATTGTTAAATAATCATTTTCCATTTCCATTTTAGTTATAATTATAGAAAATAATCAGAAAGAATACTTTGGCTACCATGTTAAGAGTTTGACCAATTAAGACAGAATGGCAACTTAATTTGTACATGTTTCAGCAGGGTTATCTATAAATTTTTTTGAGAAAACTTTTCACATAAGTCTATTTGTGCTTCTATTTGTCTCAAGAGTTGCGGGACAGATACTTTTTTCAAATTAATACACTTTTAAAAAAAATTATGTATTTTAATTTTTTTTATTTTTATATGTCCTATAACTATATCTTTTGTATGTATTGCATTTGTAATTGAACACAGAGTCTTCTTTTAAAGTTTCAAACCAGTATTTCTTTATTACCCAGTAAAACCCGGGTTTTCCCAGTATTTCCCACTGGGCTGGGCAATACTCATATAAACCGGGTTTTTGCCAACCCTGTGAGAAAACACGTACAAGAACCACCTGACCAGATTTTTTCATGGACAATAAAGTATATGTCGTAAAATTTTACAGTTACTACATGAGAGGTGTTCCCCATTATATATTTAGAATTGGAATATTTTCAGGTTTCCAGATATTTTGTTAAGTACTGTTTGACCAATAGTAAATGTGATGCAAAATACTAGCATTTAAACTCAATAATGTAAACAGTAATAACTATTTTTTTGTTTTTTTGACGTAATAAAAATAAATTAATGACCATAAAATAGAAGTAGGCTAGTTTTTGGCAGATTTGACATTTACCTTTATGTCCCTTTAACATCAGGAACCTTTAGATTTCAAGAAAAAGAATAAAGATACCCTTTGTTTTGCTCTGCTTTTTATGCATTTATTAAATATATCTGCTATTAAATGCTAGTGCTTAATAATTTATTTATTTATTGTTTTTATGCTTTTTAGTTTATTATTTTATGATATTCAAGTGATTTGCTGATTCCCCCGTTCAGTGCACATAGAGGCGCTTGCCAAATGAGCTTTGACTCTGGAGGCTCATAAATCAAAAAATTAATTTGCTTTCATTAAATTTGCATGCTTTTTCATTTTTATTTATTAGTATTTGCATGATGCTGCATGATTTTTTATGTGATAGTCGGTTAAAGAGCTCATTAGAGCTCATGTTTTTTTGTCTGTTATTATGTATATATATGCCGACTCTGAATAAAATTTACTTACTTACTTACTTACTTTACTTTGTCCAAGTTTTCAATACAATTTAAAAACATCATCTAAATCTTTACATTTTTGTCAATGTCATAGATCAAAAATCACCGTTTAAGTAACCCAACAATACAAATCCGCAAGAAAGATATCTAGAGCTTATCATATGACATTTAAAATTAACCAGCACCCAATTAGTTAAATAATTATAAATCTAATAATATTACTTGAAAGAATAGAACCATGTGATAACATTACCTTGTGGTATTTTACTAAAGACAAAACTCTCTTGGTATACAGGACTCTGGCCAGATTTGACTTTGGTTTTAAACTTCTGTTTCTTGGTAGGCAGTAATACAATCCTAACTTGAGCATGACTAGCACCTCCACGTTCAACACTAGGAATTTCCTGAGCTTGGTGTACAGTTATTGCCATTCTGCCACGTTTGGGGTCGTAAGAAAAGGTCATCTCTATGCTGCCACATTTTGATATTAGAGGTGGTTCCTTCTGAAGGTCACTGACATCAAATAAATGTTCCTAGAATTGTCAAAGAATATGCTAAATTAAAAACAGGTACTAGTATGTGATATACGTCAATAAGACAGCAACACGACAAAAAACATCAAAGACATCTAGAGATTTCCATAGACAACAAGTGTCTTCACAATATGTCAACTTTAAATCAAGAGACTCTGAATTTAGCATCAAAACCAAAATGGACAACTGGCAAATTAAACGGATACAAAACTATGCTGAATTTAAACAGATATGTGTTATACATCAATGAGACAGCAACCCAAAAACACAAAACATCAAAAGACATCTAGAGTGTTCATACAATATATCAAGCTTTAAATCACAGAGTCTAGCATCAACAATCAAAATGTCCAACAACTGATAAAAGAATATGCTGAATTAAAATAGATACCGGGTATGTGTTATACATCAAAAGACATCTAGAGGTCTTCATCAATAGACAAGTGTTCATACAATATGTAAAGCTTTATATCAAAACCAAAATGGACAACTGATAAAAGAAAATGCTGTATTTCAATAGATATGTGTTCTACATCAATGGCATGGATACAAAGAACCAAAAGAGATCTATTAATAGAAAAAGCTTCCATGCAATATGTGAAGCTCTTAATAGCCTGGAGTCTAGTATCAACAACCAGAATGACTGGTAAAAGAAATAATTACTATAACAACAGAACTTTTATAGATTTTTTTTTGTCCTACAGGGAATTCAGAAGTGTTAATCTCTCTGAAAAATACTAAATGATTAGTAACACATTAATTAAAACTTGCATCCCTTAATCTGGTGGCTTTATTTGTATACTGCATTTTACAAAATTACATTAAATGATCAATTGACACACATTTTCATCTGTTGATCAACATAAGTAGAAATGAATGCATGCAATAATTTCTGAAGGTGTAGTTTTTGTTAACATAATGCTGGAGCATAGCATAAATCCAAAGAAGACTTCTTGTATAATTTTGATACAATGTACACAACATAATATTAATTTCCTGCGATAAAAAAATAAAATTTTCTTTCGCCATCAACAAATTAATTAACTCACATAGCTCACTGCCATATGGATTTGATATTTTCCAACAGCAAGTTTATATTCCCATGATTAGTATTGCTTTTTTCCATGTTTTGTTCTAAATTCCATTATATTGCAAGACAGTTTCATATAAATGTTTATAAATCCTTCACTATTGTATTCTATCAGACTATTGTATTGACATTTAACTATTTGTTGCTTGACCTCATCTTACAGATCACTAATTAATTAATCAATAACAATTAGTGTAATTATTGTGACACAAACTCCAATTTCTGTTGCATTGGCATATGTATACAGCCAGCTTTACAAATGTCACTTCTTAAAAATGCAACTAATTTGATATTTTTAGCAATGAAAGAAATTTTTCATAAGATGTGGTTAGATTGACAATAACACAACTGTCCACTGGAAGACCAAGGACAAGGATGTAAACACATACACATCACTGCTCAGCCAATAATGAAGTATGGTATTGGTAGCTAAAATGATTCTTATAATATCATCTGTGTGTTTTTTTTTTTATTTGGAGGGAGGGGGGCAGGAGTTCACAAATAGAATTTTTCAAAGAAAATGAAAATCATCAACAGTTGTGCATCATAGAAGGCTATTTATTAAAACTTGTAGATTTAAGGGAAGAAAACCTGTTGTAATATCATAGTATGTGGTCTATAAAAATAGTACATTTTGAATAGTAATGCAGGATTAGACCATAAATTTTTACCAGAAAATCTGAGTAATGTCCCTTTTTACTGGTCGTCCTTCGATTAGCAGTTTATTACATCATAAGATTTGTTTACTTGTACTGTTTGGCAGTGAAGATGCTTTATAATTCATAGCAGGAAAAAAAGAATAAATTGCTTCGCTGAGCGCAGCTGGATACGGCTGCAGAGGTCCAACCCTGAACAGTTGGGGCAAAAATGGACGCAATATTCGCGCTTGATACAGGTCTGAATTTGGATTGTAATTAAATATCTGACACAGAATAACTGTAGTCAAAGAACTTAGAATTGGTTATATGATTCGAATTTATATTGTTGTTTTTATTTTATATTATTTATATGTTGCAAATTGTTGGTACCATAACCCCCAAAATCAATCCCAACCTTCCTTTTGTGGTATTGAACCTTATGGTAATATTTCATAGAGATCCATTCCCTTAAACTAAAGTTATTGTGCGAAAACCAATGTGTTTTCGGACGAAGACGCCGATGACGCCAACGTCATACGACCGCCAAAATTTTTTGCGCTCGTATAAAAAGTAGATACAAAGTGATTTTGAGGATTCTTTTAAGGTTACACCAACACGCTTACAGTCAAGATTCATAAGAGGTTTGACTTCAATATGAAAATGTCTACCATAATGACATTTTATAAATAATTTGTTCTAAACATTGCTTCAATGAATACTAAATTGTTGCTTTGTGTTCTATCAAGAAACTTAATGCATATTGGTAATTTGAATATTTTTTCTAGTCATTACTCAATTAATGATGCTGAAGGGAAATTAAAATAATGGTAATGTAAAGCATAATCAAGGTTATCTTTTATTCATATCATGTTTTCAATGGTTTACACAGAATTTTCACTTAATTAACAAGTACATTTTAAAGTTTGTTTTCAGAACTTATATCAATAGTTTTATAACCATCCAACCAATGTTGAATCCAAATTTATTATGAAATGTCCATATGATACAAGTTTTCATATTGAAGTTAAACCTTTTTCATACTTGTGTGCTAAATAACAATGTGTTTTTTATTCACAATATGCATATTTCTGTAAATACAGAAATTATTGCATGCATTTTTTATTGCGATTTTTGAAGATTGGACAAAAATGTAAGATTAATTTTTGCAATTTCAGGAAAATCTGCATACAGATATCATGGATATATATGTATCAGATATCACTATGTGAGTTCTTATTATTGCAATACTCACACAGTTGCATTATTAGCAATAATAAAACCTTGCAATAATTCATGAATTTACAGTAATTACAAAGTCATATTAACTAAAGAGTCAATCATCAAAATTTGATGCAATGGAAATAGTTAATTACACTGAGCCTGCTTTACACCTATTCATACTACAACTTGAGAATTCATCAAATATATCAGTGTTCTGGAAGTATAAACCTCTGCATGAGCACAGTAATACATGAATACATTTGTTCACTTGTTTATTCTCTTGAATACCATCAATTGAAAGTTTCTGCCTAATTGTTGCTTTTCCCTTTTCAGGTTGTTTGAGGTGACTTATATTTGATTACAGAGTACAACTAGATTTGTAGAGAAATCCTTGTTTGAAAATTTATGACCTTGTAGGTTCAGTCTTTCACATAACAAATCAACAACTATTATGCTTTCAATTGTGTGTCAAATTCATTGAAAACTGGATCCCTGTACATAGACTGTTTGTTTATTTCTTGCTTAATATTGTAAATTCAGAAATTATTGCAAGGTTTTTATCAATGCGAATAATGCGACTGCGTTGGTATCGCAATAATAAGAACTCACATTTTGATATCTGATACATTATCTTTATGCAGATTTTTCTGAAATCGCAATAATTAATCTTGCATCTTTGTCAATTTTTCAAAAATCTCAAAATTAAATGCATGCAATAATTTCTGAATTCTCAGTACACACTGGAAATTATTTCATGCATATTCAGGACAACCTATAAATAAAAGTAGTTTCCCTGGAATAATAATACATACATCTTGGGACGTGGTTTCCTGTAATTCTGCTGTATATTCACTTCCAGATAATGATGGTGTTGGCTCTGTCTGGTATGCTTTATTGTCAAATATTAACTGCTGTTGTGAGCCTGAATCACATGGCATATCTCCTATGGCATTGCCAGTCGTGTCTTTTCTTTTTACAACAGTTTCTGTATCACTAGAGTCTACCAGTTGATCAGCTAATGAATCCTGGCTACTGGCAACAGGATCTGTTATGATATAAAAAAGGTTTTAAGTTGAACTAGAGCCTGTTTTGTCCACCATGGTCCATGCATAACACAAAATCAATCATTATACCAATAATGTACAATTATGCTCATATTGGATATAATACTGATACCACACTCACTTGTAATGATTCAAATGTGGTTAAATTTACCCAGTTAATTCAGGAGAAAATCTTTAATTCAACTATTAAAAGTCCAATCGAGTTGCAATAATACATAATATACTGGTATATGTAGGGAAATTCATAAACAAAGCACATAATCTTAGGAAAATCAGAGCACTGGTGGATGGGTAAGATGTCAAGAATTCATCAAATATATTTTGGAACAGCTGTCATGTATCATTTAGCTTAATTTTAGACCTTGTGAGGATTTTTTAAAAATAATTGTTTTGACTTCTGTTATATTTTTGGAAATGACCACAGCTACGTTCGATAACTAATGGTAATTATCATTTGTCTTAAAGCATCAATAACACCTATTAGTGCCTGACGAGATTTTGTGAGGAAGATTAATCAGGTTTTAAAACATCGAATAATAGAAAAACAAAGGATATTGGGTATCCATCCATGACACAAAATCAGTACATGCACAGCAAAAAACACACAAAAAGCAAAGGAACAGTGCTTTTATTGCTGTTCTTCATCTCAAAGTCACAGTGAGGCCTTAGTCTTATATCGTTTAGAAATGGGATGTTATATTTTGACATGTTTTACTGACTACTTCCATTTGGATTAACAAGCATCACAAACATTTAACCAAAGTATGTTAGCAATTGCAACTTTACTGATATTTTTCAGAATTTTTTTAATGAACTATTCTATTTTAGTTGCAACTAAGTTTGAAGGCTACTGGGGTGTTCAACCATAAGCCTTTAAGAGAATCATAAATATTTATCATTCAAAATAAGAAAGGTACCAATTAACCAGCAGTCAAATATTTAATTTTAAGGTGAGGTGGACACTTAAAGCTAAAAGATGTAAACATAAATTTGAAATTAAAGTTGATCACTGTTTCAATTTGGGTATAGGAAATAAAGACTCCAGCTGGCACTAAAGTTGGCTCTAAGTTTTTCAAACTGCCGACAAAATATAGCAGCTGGTGCTTTTTCTGGCTCCAACTTTTTTTGGAGCCAGAGCAGCCTCTGTGGTGGTCATGAAATTGTTCAGATGATGGTTGAGATTATCAACAATACTATTAAAAGGCCATCAACAATACATTATTTTCAAAACTTGGCAGCTATATGACCTTAAGCAGGATCTGCTTACCCTTCGAGAGCACCCCCGGTTTTAGTTGGGGTTCAAGTTGCTTAGTCTTTAGTTTTCTTTTTTTTTGTGTTTTGTATACTGTTGTTGGTCTTTTTCTCTTTTTTCCATGGCGTTGTCAGTTTATTTTCAACTTACATGTATGAGTTTGAATGTACCTTTGGTATCTTTTGCCTTTGTTTTACTGCATCTGTCAGGATTTTTTAATAATAGAATATTTTATTCAATTTTACATCTATCACCTTTTTTTTGTGTAACTTCACCCATGTTTTTTTTATCAGCAAAAACATCAGACTAAATTTTTAAACTAGATACCTTAGGGATCATTATGATAAAGTTTAGTTTCTATCTGCCTAACAGTTTGAGAATAGAACTATTCAAAGGTTTATGCTGGTCAATAAACAAATGCCAAATGGTGAGAAAAGCCCACACTGGTCCATTGAGCCAGTCCGTTTCTGACCTTACTTAGTTCATTTCTTAAAGACTTTGCTTTACATATTCTATGTATTTTGAACTGCAATGTATGAGAAATTTACTACAGTCATTGTATGATGTATGTTATATATCAGGATTCCCAAGAGATGAAAACTAAATTTTGTTAATATTTCTCCAAGGATTCATTGCCAAAACAATTCTGTTTAAACAGAAGAAATGGATTTTGTTAATCATAGTTTACTACCATTTTTGTCATTTCAGCATATCCTGTTGTCTCTAGTGCTTTCTGGAAAGGTGTTAGGTGTTGGGAAAGATAAATGTTTTTTAATATCTAAGACTTCAAAATATTTTAGAATTAATAAATTCTACTCTATAACTTCCTGAATAATTAATCAGTACTTAAGATGGTTAGAATGCTGGCAATAATTTCACAGCATTGTACTAATAGAACATTTCTCAAAGAAAACAAATCTCCTGTGCTTTAGCAGGAATTTAATAAATCTTAATCTTTCTTTTGAATGACACCCGTAGTTTTAGTCATTTTAATTTCTTAACATCTGTATATTTTTTTGTTGGTCTCATTTACAAGAAGAGGAAATACAAGAGCATGTGGAATGCCATCAACCTTCAATGAGTCACTATAACACTACTAGTTTTACATATTATTAAATAAAGTGAACTTGCCATATTTGAAAATGATATTGAGCAAATATTTTACGTTAAACACTGTGGTAACAGCATCAAATGTATTTGTGAAAGTACAGAATGTCTTTGTGTTTTGTTAACTGCTTTTTCTTGTTACTCTTGATTGTGTTAATACTGAACTATGTTACTTTTGTTTTTTTACTTGGCCCATATGTGTTCAATTAGCAAACAAAGTTATAGTTATAGCTATGTATAACAATGTATAAAAGAGAATCAGACTGATGTTTAAAAATACATGAACTAAAACTATGAAGCATGATATAATATAATTGTCTGCCATTTTTCTAACATTCATCACTTCAAATTAATTTCAATTGTTGATGGGCATGTCTCTATATTCAATAAGAATATATTAACTCAGTTTCACAACTCACTGATATTATAAAGTACATTTTATAATAGTATATATGTTAATGTAATTATATGACTTCAATCAATACAATAATTTTGACATTTTAAGTCCAATTCTTTCACTTTTCTAATGGAGTATCTCTATGGAAATAAACTTGCTATGCTGTAGCCAAATGCCTTCCACCCTCTCTATTACATGTATACGGTAGTTTTCAAGACAATACACAACAAGAGTGCACACGCTGAAATGTCTCGCCTTCTTTACTAATCATTGATATTATGTTGATAGTCCTAAATATAAAGCTTTATTACAACTGTCACATAAACTTAACATTAACCAAGTAAACTAAACATTGACCAATGAACCATGAAAATGAGGTCAAGGTCAGATGAACCATGCTAGGCAGGCATGTACAGCTAACAATTCTTCCATACAACAAATAGAGTTGACCTATTGCTTATAGTTTAAGAAAAACAGACCAAAACACAAAAACTTAACACTGAGCAATGAACCTTGAAAATGAGTTCAAGGTCAAATAAAACCTGCGTGACTGCCAAATAGATCATAAAATATTTCCATACACCAAATATAGTTGAACTATTGCATATAGTATAAGAAAAACAGACCAAAACACAAAATTTTAACTATAACCACTGAACCATGAAAATGAGGTCAAGGTCAGATGACACCTGCCAGTTGGACATGTACACCTTACAGTCCTTCCATACACCAAATATACTAGACCTATTGCTTATAGTATCTGAGATATGGACTTGACCACCAAAACTTAACCTTGTTCATTGATCCATGAAATGAGGTCGAGGTCAAGTGAAAACTGTCTGAAGGGCATGAGGACCTTGCAAGGTACGCACATACCAAATATAGTTGAACTATTGCACATAGTATTAGAAAAAAAGACCAAAACTCAAAAACTTAACTTTGACCACTGAACCATGAAAATAAGGTCAAGGTCAGATGACACCTGCCCGCTAGACATGTACACCTTACAATCATTCCATACACCAAATATAGTAGACCTATGGCATACAGTATAAGAAAAACAGACCAAAACACAAAAACCTAACTATAACCACTGAACCATGAAAATGAGGTCAAGGTCAGATGACACCTGCCAGTTGGACATGTACACCTTACAGTCCTTCCATACACCGAATATACTAGACCTATTGCTTATAGTATCTGAGATATGGACTTGACCACCAAAACTTAACCTTGTTCATTGATCCATGAAATGAGGTCGAGGTCAAGTGAAAACTGTCTGACGGGCATGAGGACCTTGCAAGGTACGCACATACCAAATATAGTTGAACTATTGCACATAGTATTAGAAAAAAAGACCAAAACTCAAAAACTTAACTTTGACCACTGAACCATGAAAATGAGGTCAAGGTCAGATGACACCTGCCCGCTAGACATGTACACCTTACAATCATTCCATACACCAAATATAGTAGACCTATGGCATACAGTATAAGAAATACAGACCAAAACACAAAAACTTAACTATAACCACTGAACCATGAAAATGAGGCCAAGGTCAGATGACACCTGCCAGTTGGACATGTACACCTTACAGTCCTTCCATACACCGAATATACTAGACCTATTGCTTATAGTATCTGAGATATGGACTTGACCACCAAAACTTAACCTTGTTCACTGATCCATGAAATGAGGTCGAGGTCAAGTGAAAACTGTCTGACGGGCATGAGGACCTTGCAAGGTACGCACATACCAAATATAGTTATCTTATTACTTATAATAAGAGAGAATCTAACATTACAAAAAATCTTAACTTTTTTTTCAAGTAGTCACTGAACCATGAAAATGAGGTCAAGGACATTGGACATGTGACTGACGGAAACTTCGTAACATGAGGCATCCATATACAAAGTATGAAGCATCCAGACCTTCCACCTTCTAAAATATAAAGCTTTTAAGAAGTTAGCTAACGCCGCCGCCGCCGCCGCCGCCGGATCGCTATCCCTATGTCGAGCTTTCTGCGACAAAAGTCGCAGGCTCGACAAAAATGAAAAAGATTGGTAAGGGCAATAACTCCTTTAAGAAGTTGTCGGTGAAGTTGACATAAATGGACATTAGGTAAATCTCAACATTCTGAAAATGTCTGTCCTTGTCAGAGACCTCGACCAGCCCTTTGGACACACTGAGCTAAAAAACAATCACTCTATTTCAGGTATTCATTCAGTCAACAAAATGGCTGTGACACAATACCAATAAAAGCCACATGTCTTTTAAAAATAGTACTGAACCATTTACATGATGGGAAACACATGGTAAGGGTTAATATTACTACCCACCTTTACGACTAAGTCGCCTGCCTGCTTTACCACTTTTGCTACTTTTAATACTGTGCAGTGTGTCTGAACGTTTTATACTATGTGCCTTATGAAACTTGTTTTGCATCTCATCATCGCTATCACTAGACGATTCTTCATCCTCATAGGCAAAAGCACTTCCTGTAATAAAGTTAATATATGTACTGACCACATCCAAAACATCCAAACTATCCTGTAATTGACAGTCTCACTGCTACCAATATTCTTAATGTTTAATATCTATCATCAATACATTATGATACAGTCTGTTTATATGTATAACTTCTGTATCAATTTTATCCAAAGCTATTTAAACAGCTGCTTGGTATTTAAATAAATACGGGGTATTCACCATTGCAACTGGCTTGTTTTGGGTGACTTTACCTTAGATTTATCTAAGTTCAAACTAAGCAATTTAAACTTTGATACAATTAAAATAGAATTCAAAACTTGAACAAATGAGTGGATAACATAAGTATAGTTACAGTTGTAAGATTAATTCACATGAATAAAAAGGAAACTTGGGTACAAAAAATGTACATGTCAATGAGGCTGCAACCTAAAAACACAAAACAGTAAACTTTCTTGTTAAGTTGTTCGCCTTTTTCAATTAGTGATTTCTACCTCTACCAGTAATCAAAGATCAAACTTCTGCAATTGTCTATATGGGGTAGCTAACTCACTTCAACTGAAAGGGATTGTCAGTTCAATCATTGGCAAGTTAAATGAAGGACTTTGAAGCTGGTATTTTCTACCTATCCTCCCAGCATTTCAGAATAAGGAGGAAGATTGGTTGACTCAAGAGTCAGAATAAGGTGTATAGGTAGGGTGGAATTTTCATGGAATATAAGTTCCTTTTTTATATTAGTTCCAAATGAAAGAAACATTCTTGAATATTATTTCCACTGAAAGAAATATAGTACAGTATTTGTTCCTGACAGAACAAAGGGTATGGAATATTTGTCCCAACAGGACTGAAACTTTGACACACATATTCTTCCTAGCATGAAGGTATAGTGCAAAATGTGGAAAATTCATAAGACATTTTTATGTTAATTCAAAGGTCAATGTTAGTTCATGTTTGTCATATTTGTTTTTTGTTATTTGTATTGTATAAATAACTCCGTTGTTTTTCTCTTTAAATATATTTCACATTTTTCATGTCAGCGCCTTTCATAGAAGACTATACAGAATGAGTTTTTCATTGTTGAAGGCCGAATGGTTACCTATAATTGCTTTTATCCTCGTCTTTTGAACTCTGGTTGATAGTTGTCTCATAGGCAATCATACCATATCTTTACTTTCATATTAATATTACTTCAAGATCAAATGTGGCCAAAAGGTCAACTGCATCTAAGTTAAAGTAAGGTTACATGCTTATCTATTCTTCTAACTATCCCCAACAGATTGAATAATTAAATCAACTGAAAGCAATTTCAGGACAGACATTCCTTAGCAATCAAATAAATAACTGTTTGACTTTATTTGCTTATGCTTTTAATTAAAACATGTTTTATACAAAATTCTCATTTCTCTTGAAATCATCCATGTTCATAACAATATAACATACAGTACAACTTAGTTACCTGATTTTTATTTTATTTTTTATCAATATTGAAGTCATTTTATAAAACATTAATCAGAGTTTACATGGGACTGCTTAAACTTAATTTTAATGGTCCCGATGGAAAAGGGTATTGATTTATGGTGTACAAGGCATAACAATCTTTTACCAACATTGTTTTAGCCGCAAACCTTTTAACCTTCAGATGGCTTGTGCAAATATTGTTTTTTGTAATTCTTTGGGTATTAAATATAGTAAACAGTATTAATAAATCAATATTTTTTTCTTTTTCAGGTGAAAAAAAAGCAAAAGTAAAAACGTTTTTATTTCTAACACTCTCAAGTCCTTGTCAGCAAGTCTACTTTCTACTTAAAATATGTAAAAGAGAAATATTTAAAACATTACACTAAGAAACTAGTATTCATTTTTCTGTCATGGGTATCAGTTATTTTGTATTACATAAAGACCTTTCTTCTATCATGAGCATGTTTAGACTGTGAGCAACAGGAAGGTTTGAGGACAATCTGATTAAAATGCAGATCCTATGTCCACCCTTTGCTTACAAGCATCCGTCTATTCTAGTAATGAAAACATCAGCCGATGAAACTTCTGCCTCCAACCTTTTTAAGGTATGTATCATTACAACAAAAAAAAAGAACCCTGGAAAGTCTTTAAAACAGAAAGTAGAATGTAGCCCTTTCAGATCCTTGTAAGTAAAGGATGGACACAGGATCTGTAATTTTTTAAAGGTTGGTTTGAGGAATAAACAAAATAAATGTTTCCAAATAATGCAATATGCATCCTAAAGTTAAACTTATGTCAATGATATTGAGAATATGCTATTATCAATTAATAATAAACAAAGCCATGTAATATTATATTTGCTTATTCTATAAACAGTTTCAACACTACCTTTAGTATGACCATTATTAGGTTTATCAAGACTCTGACTTTCATATCATATTATTGAAGTTTAATTTTGAAACAATTTACTTGTCTCCATAATTTTCACAAACTTACTCTCAGCAGATTTATCTATGTAGACCTATATGAATGAAGTCAAGCATCTTTTGCTTGAAAAACTAAATGACAGTCATGTACTGGTCAAAGTTGGGTGATTAACTAATAATTCAAATTTGAAAGAAAAACAACCCACCAAAATTAATCTTATTTTGTTTTTCAATTTAATAGTTTGTTTTTCAAATTTGAATTACCGGGGTATTACTAAATAATACATTTATATCCGGACTTTAGTTTATAAAATTACTGTCAGCTATGAAAGACCACATCACCATTATCCAGCAATGAACTATCATCATTTTGACAAATACATTAGCATTGTAAAATTTCCATTTTTTAAGAATCATAATCCAACTTTCAAAATTCTACACATAATTGTCTCTTCAAAGAAAATCATCTGACAGCAAGTGATTTATTCATAACTTCTTTATTTACATCTACAAAAACATAGTCTGCTTTTTAGTGCAAGAATTAAGGGTTAAAAAAATCACCTGATTTCTGAATATTCACACAATGCTTGGACACAGTAACTTATAAACAAATTCAAAAAATATAAAATTTATTTGCATGTCCTAAGCAAGATAATTTACCACATGCAATCAATCTCTAAATACTATAAAAGAGACTAAAATGTAGATTTCCTGGAACCTTCTTACAACACCTATTTTTCTCACAATTTAAATTCAAAAAGTGTACAAATGACCTATCTGTTTCTTTACCTAGAAGCAATGCATTGTCCGTTCCATTCCATTTATACATAATCTGTTATATAACATTCCTATATGGCTGGTCAGTAAATATAACGAATGAATAATTAATAAAATCAATTGAAATGTAGCTCTTACCATTCTTGTCCGTAGAATCTTCCTTTTTCACTTCCTCATACTTCAAATTTTTATTATTTTTAGGAGTTTTATGTTTGTCCACAGATTTTTTCCTGAATAGTCCACAACAAGAAAATAGTTGTGTCTTTTCACCAGTATCAAAGCTTAGTATCTTTCTAAACATCTCAATAATAGCTTTTTCATTATCATTGATTATTCTGCGTACTTTTAAGACAATAATCAGAATTTATGTGCACCGTGGGAATCATTATTCCAAAAAGGTATGATACATACCCTGTTTCTATCTGAATATCATAGCTAATAAACTGACAAAACTCGAAGGAAATCAACAATCCATAGTCTTTAACCTCGCTTATCCAAAAATATAAATAAAATTTATTATTAAGATACATGAACTCATTAGGCTTTCGAGATGTGACACTATAATGTCTTTTTTCCTTTCACCTATAGTCATGCAAGATGCAGATAATTAGAACTGTAACAAAACATAAGAAACTTTCTAACAATATCAATTATTAATAGGATTCCGGGTTGTCAATATACATGTCAAAAACTATCATGTGTTGATTATTAAGGTGATTCATAACTGTTTTACTCCAACGAGTTAGAATGAGTCTTGAATAAGTATCCTGTTTGTTCTATTGTAGTAACAGACATTAATTTCATCAACTGAAGATCACAAATATTGTCATCCAATCAGAGACATACAATACAAAAGCTTTTGAAAAATAAGTCTCTCTGGAATCTGTGTTGCTTACCTGGCACATTACAATAAATTTATTTACTAAACTTTTTATGATTGAATGGAGGACTGAGATTGGAGAAAGGACTTTAATGTTGTTTGATTAGCATCTAGTGGCAAATATTTCATGCATATTCTGATCATGACTGGGAGAAAAGGGGTGGTAAAGGAGTTTATTGTTTAACGGATGACTCTGGGATATGATTGACTGTTGTTTGTTTAACATCCGGAGAAAAATATTGCATGCATATTCTGGTCAGACATCCTAGATAAATGAAAATTAAAATTTCCTGTATTGTAAATGATTCTCTTCTTATATATGTACCTCAGATTAAATGAAAAGGATTGGTAAATGTGAAAAAAGAGTAACTCAATATAAGCCATACTCCTTGATCCAGTACGGTTTGTCATCAGAACAGCAGATACCCCGGTAAATGAAGTTCTAATATCATACTAAATATGAGAAAAAAATAACATCAAAGGAGATTGTACATGAAGGACAAGGACACGTTCTGGACCCATTGAATTAAAAAAAAAACCTCATGGCATTATAGGTCTATCAAATAACCTCCCTATAATGTGTATGCATAAATATTTATTGTTGTGTCAATAGATATAAGAAGATGGGGTATGAGTTTCAATGAGACAACTCTCCATCCAAGTCACAATTTGTAAAAGTACCAAAAAAAACAATAACTCCTAAAGGGGTCAATTGACTATTTTGATCATGTTGACTTATTTGTAGATCTTACTTAGCTGAACATGTATTGCCATTTATTGACTTTCTATCTATTTTAATATTAAAGAAAATAACCAAAAACAGTAAAATTTAATAAAAATAAACTATTTCCAACAGTAACACAACAATGGGTTGTCGAACTTGTCTGAAAATTTCATTACAGATAGATCATGACCCATTTATTACTTTAACTTCTTTCACTTTTCACTTTTGCTCTAACTGCTGTAGTTTTTGAGATATAAGCCAAAAACTGCTTTTGTCCCCTATGTTCTATTTTTAGCCATGGCGGCCATGTTTGTTGATGGATCAAAACCTCGGAAACAATTAACAAACTAGATTCCCAACAGAACATGCAGTTAAAGTTTGGAAGTATTTGGCCCAGTAGTTTCAGAGAAGAAGTTTTTTGAAAAAGTAATAGACTTGCACGAAAAAATGTAAAAAATAAACCTTTCAAAGGCAATAACTCCTTAAGGAGTCAATTGACTATTTTGATCATTTGACTTATTTGTAGATCCTCCTTAGCTGAACATTTTTGCCATTTACACTTTCTATCTATTATAATATTAAAGATAATAACCAAAAACAGCAAAATTTCATAAAAATAAACTATTTAGGACAGCAATCCTACAATGGGTGGTCCAATTGGTCTGAAAATTTCATAGCAGATAGATTTTGACTTATTCATCACTTTAACTCCATGTCACTTTTGCTCTAACTGCTTTAGTTTTTGAGATAAATGATACAATTTATAAACAAGTTACCCTAAGGAACATTCAGTTAAAGTTTAGAAGTATTAGGCAAAGTAGTTTCAGAGGAGAAGATTTTTAAATGTTATCAAACATGATGAACAAATTGTGTAAAATTGTCTTTAAAGGGCAATAACTCCTTAAGGGGTCAATTGACAATTTTGGTCATACATGTATCAACTTTTTTGTAGATCTTACTTTGCTGAAAATTTTTACCCCTATGTTCTTTTTTTAGCCATGACGGCCATGTTTGTTGATGGATCAAAACTTCATATAGTTTTATAAACTAGATACCCTAACAAACATTCATTTAAGTTTAAAGGTATTTGGCCCAGTAGTTTCAGAGAAGATTCTTGAAATAGTTTACGATGACAGACAACGACGACGACAAGTGATGGCATAAGCTCACATGGTCCTCAAAGGGCCAGGTGAGCTAAAAAGGATAACAGGAATTCACAAAAATATTGGACAGTTCAAATTGCTATTAGGTGATGTCTTATCACTATATATAACTTATCAACATATTCTATAAGAGTAACACGACCGGTGTCACATGTGGAGTAGGATCGGCTCACCTACCAGAGTACCTGAGATCAACCCCAGTTTTGTGTTGGGTTCGTGATGTCTAGTCTTTAGTTTTCTATGTTGTGTTTTGTGTACTGTTGTTTGTCAGCTGGTCTTTTTCTTTTTTAGCCATGGCGTTGTCAGTTTATTTTCAACTTATGATTTTAATGTCCCTTTGGTATCTTTCGCCTCTCTTCAACAGACCCCACCTGAACCACCAATACCTAATTCTTCCCCCAAAATACTTGTAGACGTACATACAAAGAAAAACAACAAATGATCCAAATAACATGGCTTGGTTACAGCTTATCATGTCTATTGTGAATTATCAACACTTCAGTAAACTTCATTAGTATCCATAAATAATTTATATTGTATTCCCATTAACACTTCAGAACCTTATAACATTTTCCTTTTTTATTTTCCATTTCATGTATCAATCACAGATTAATTAGAAGGTCTAACGAAGAAAGAGAGATACTTCAATGTAATATTAACAGCATTGAATTTAAAATAATGATAACCGACAAGTAAATAATGAACACGGAAAGTTCAATAAAACATTTATTCCGCTGTAAGATAATCTTAAATTTGTTAACAATCAATATCCTATCAAATTCAATAGGATGAAAATATTGCTGCAGGTATTTTGTATTGTTCGACAAGATATTGTCATTCAAATAACAGAATAGATCCTATAATTGTATTTTGGATTGTTTATTGTTATTTAGGATACATGTATTCATGTATGGATCAACAGATTATGTAATTTTGTTGATTATCAGTTGAAATAGAATACTTGATACACTTTAGTGGAACATTATTGTCACTGAATGAATACATGAATTACATAATTATTATCTCCAACAGGGGTATTTTCCATTTAAACTAGCTTTAACCTTACATTATTCTTAAATAATTGCCTTACAAAGTAAAATTTGTTCCAAAGTGAGAATTTTAATAAACATATATTTACATTTTTGTTTATTTCATTATTGATAATGATATAATTTAGCTGTTTTAAATTATAACTAGTTATAATTACTGTAAATTAGGAAATTAATACATGCATTTATCAATGGGATTTACTGATTACTGGTTGAAATGAGAGATATAATTACTGCAATTGCAAAAATTTTGTGAAGGAAAACCACAACTGAAATCATGATTGCCAGTTTTATTATTGGGAACCTGGTACTGTCACATTTATCGAATTATCAAACCCATTGCAACAATTTCTGAATTTACAGTACATGTATATACTTATGCCTAACAGAAGACAACCCTGGATTTCTGATATTTTAAACCAACAGGGAACTACACTTGAATGGAGGACTAGTGAGGAATATTGTTAACAGAAGGAGTACAATAGTTTGTTGAATATGAAAAAAATCTTCTGTACCTATTGACTCAGTGGCCTTGCCATTATTTTAATCAAAAAGGCTCTGACCATATAGGACTTTTCTATTACTATCTATAGCCCGTTACTACATTTTGTGTACAACTTCAACTCTTGACCTTATCCCAGCTTTTAATACCTGATCAATGTTGAATATTACCCTTCAATAAAATTTTCCCCACATTATACTATGCCTCAAATATTCATAGAAAAAAAACCCAAATGATATCACCATCCATTTGAAAATTCTGCGAGTGAATTATAGTGCTTCATTCATTTTATTGATTAAATTATTGGCATTTAATATCTATTAGCATATATAACATGCATTTTGAAGACAATGACATGTAATTTCACTTAATATAGTCTGCTCTGAAGTAGATTAACATAATGTAACATGCAAGCAGAGTTCTCACTAAGGATTTTTGAAAGCTAGTCCATGGACTCAACATTTTTGGTCATGGCAAGTCCAACAGTGAGAAGATAAAATTCTATTGCTTTATGATTCATTATTTCAGTCCCCATAACAAAATAGAGCAAGTAAATGACATCAAATTCAGATTATTTTTTAAAGTTTTGTTATAAAATAATAACACACATATGTACTCAGTCGATTTCACAGTCTTCATGCATCTTTGGACTCACCAGTTTTGAAAAAGATGAGTCCAAACAGATTTTATGAGTCCAGAACTAATGCCCTAGTGCTAGATCACAAGACAACAGTCTACTGGATGAAATGTCACCTTACCTGTAAATTTGTTTCTATAACTCACCCAAACTTTAGTTGTCCCAACTACTAAATAATTTGCTAAGTGGAAAAGCAGCAGATCCTTCATTATGAGTTTGGTTGGTTTGGCTAAGCATTTGTGGATGAAACCCACAACCTTACACAATCAACTGATTGGTTGATTGGTGTTTAACACCATTTTCAGCACTATTGTTCTATTTCGTGGCTGTCAGTTTTTTTTATTAGATGAAACCGGAGTGCCAGAAAAGGACCACCAGCCTTCTGTATGAAAACTAACAATCCTAGTCAATTAAGACTGGAGTCTAGCCCATCTGCCACGTGCGGGATTTGAACTCAAAACCTCAGTGTTAGACAGGCTAGTGATACAGTAGTTTAACTCTAACAATCAAAGTGAGCATGCTACCAACAGACGACTGAGGCAGCTCTGTTCATCATTCGTTTGTAGTTAATTCATACTACACTGTACCATATATTCAGTGTTTACATGGAGTTAATTCACTGAAATTCAATCTGTAATTATCACGACCATATGCCAACATTAAGTGAAAAACTCTTTCTTTTCACAAAATATTAATTCTCTTTGTCAATAATAAACATATATATACTAAGATTTGAGTGTTCGGCTCATATAATTCAAGTCTAAATATTTTCATTACTGGCAATTCTTAATGTGAAATCTGAACAAGGTTTTTAAATAAGAAAGAACCAGTCCCCTATTGGCTTTTATATGTTTAATACAGAAAACAATATTAGTATTTTCACTACAGACAATCACGTTGTCAGAAACCTCCAAATTTATTGATAAAAAAATAATCAAGATTTAGTCTGGATTAGCTACAGCTTAAGTTCTAATAAAAAGTGTGAGAAACATACCTAGTTTGTCTTTACTTGATTGCTTTTTCTTTGGAGGTTGATCAATACATGGAAATCCTCCACAATTCTGGAAGCAGAACAGTTTGTTCAGGTACATAAAGAAGATGATCAAAACAATCAGAAATGATCCTACAGCACCAAGGAAAGCTACTGCTTCTGTTGGTACTGAAAACAAAGAAAAATTTTACAATAAAAAATCTATGGATCCTCTTTTGCTTTAAAGGGGCACTAGCTGTCAAAATCATGTTCACCGATTTGACTCAAATCTCATATTTGATTTATAACAAATAAAACACATATCCAAATTACAAAAAGTCTGAAATAAACAGTTAACAATGCATATACTAGATAATATATATCAGAAATTAAGTCTAGACGCCATCTAATTAACTATCAAGATGACCTCTGAAAACTGACGACAGTCACATAACACAATAGAAACATAAACATAAATATAAATAGATAGCGACCTCCTGCAATTGGATTTTTCTATGTCTGTTTGATTTCATGTTATAGGTTAAAAAAATAAGTTATCGTTTTTACCTGTATAAGAATGAGTTTTTGTGGATCGAATCAGTCAATCAAATGATTTACCTTTGTTTCATGTTCAATGTTGACATTCTTTTCCTTTTAATAACTGAACACGCATAATTCATGCGTAATCCATCTCTAGCTAAGGGGTTAAATTGAAGGTCACATGAATAGAGATTCAATGAGGTTGATTTTTCACTTGCAAGTGAATAATTAATCATCGATGTTTCTTAGTTTATTTTGACAAAATTGAACCATACTGGCTGCTAAAAGCGAATTATTATTTCACTATTTCACTTTCATTAATGACTGAACAAAAAAAAATCATATTTTAAATTTTTTATATACCTCGTAGCTAGTGCCCCTTTAAGATTTTGGAAATTAAATTTTTACATCACCAAACTTAATTATATTTCATACATTATAAAAACAACAGTCTTTTAAATTGGAAATATAAACAAAGTGATTGATATAAGTAAAAACAAATATTTCTTTTTCAAGATTAATCCTCTTCCATAAATATCAGAAATCTTGATAAAATGAAGTGAATTTGTAAAATCTCATCAAGACTTTTACACATAATTACTTAGACTGGAAATGCAAAATGGTGTCCTGAATAGATCAAAGAGGTAGGGCTAATTTTCCCTGAATTTATCTAAAATTAGGGTCATTTTATAAAATTACTTCAATCCTTACCAAAAGTCACAGTATCATAAATTCTTATGTGTAGTTTAATATTTTCACCATATTTAGTTGTATTTCTGAACACGCCATTAAATCATAATTGTTATATAAACTCAAATATTCAATTCAAATTATTGGTTTAAACAACTTTCTGATTCTGCCTCAGTGAGAGACAAATACAGGTACAGGGAAAAATTGGCCCCACCTCTTTGTTATACACTGCATGATTAATTAAAGTCAGTTTTGTTTTAAACATTTTAACTAGCATGCCAACGAATTGTTTTCTTTGGAAATAAAAAAATATTAGAAACAACACAAAATAAAACAAAAAAACACAGTCTCAAGTCTGGTAAAAACAAACATGTCGGGAAAAAATTTTTTTTTTTGTCAAACTTACCTGTTGATTTGTATAATTTTATTTGAAGTGTTTATGCTCTAGCAGACCATTTGCCATATTCATTTTTACTTATAAAGAGAAACACAAAGTTTTTGTCTAATAATTATTTTCTATTTAGAAAATACTTTTATTTTACCTTCTTCCATGCACAAACTACATGTACCTTCAGACATGAGGCCAGAGAAAATCAAGCATAGATATGTAAGTGTATGCTCATTCTACCTCAAAACTTTTGTTTTCTCTACCATGTCAATAGATCACAAATTATTTTTCTTGTTCATTAAAAAAAAAATTGTTGAATGTAAAAAGTGCTTAACTGAAAAGTTTAGCCTCCATGTGACAGTCAAGTCAAGTCAAGTACAAATGAAGGAATAACAACTCTCAAAAAAAACTGTAGAAAAAACAGTTTACCTAATAAATGCAAAACAGCTGAAAAAAAAAATATTTCTGTTAAAATTACTAATGTACAACATATTAATTTACATGTTTTAAAAAGGTTACTTATTAAAGCAGTTTTGTTGTGAGCAGCAAAACATTTTTTTTCATTGAATATCCCACATTATACTACGTGTACATGTATATACAAAATAACAATGATTGTATTTTGTTTTTGAATTATTTTAAAACCATTTGTCCCATTTTTCTGAAGTTTTCAACAAGAATATGGTATCTTTCGCAGAAATGTTGTGCCTTCGAACATTTGTATGAAGCAAAATATTGTCTGACATGTCTGATGGAAAAATATCCACAGGACAAAATTTCATGATTATCTACCATTATATTTTGTCCCCTTCCACAGAAGGACAATTTTCCATATGAATTTTGCCAGTTAAAAAGACTCTATAGGTAGACAATATCTTATAGATAGATAGTAATGAAAATTGTCTCCTTAAAGCAAGTTTATTTTAAGTTATATTTTGTCTATATTGAGACAATATTCTATGGATTGATTGTCGTAAAATTTTCTCATTAAAGGGAGGTTATTGAAAGTAATATTTTGGACAATGATATCTTGAATTACCATCTGCTATTGTATGATGCTTAATCACTTGATAATCTGATATACATGCAACTAATCAACATATTTTGTAGGAGTAATACTACTGGTGTAACAATTGGAGAAGGTCGCTAAATTTTCATGAGTACCTGAGATCACCCCTGGGTTTTGGCAAGATTCCCATTGCTCAGTCCATAGTTTGCATTGCTATGTACATGTAGTGGTTTGTTTTTTCATAATTTTCATGGATAGCATTTCATTATAAAATATTTCCCTGGACAGCATTTCACTGTATTTTAATATATATACATGTAATATAATATTGTCTGCAGACAATACTTTGTATGAAATTTAGTCCAGAGGACAATATTTCACAGGGTACATACAGTGGCGGATCCAAAGGGGGGGTGTTCCGGAGGTTGGAACCCCCCTTTTTTTTGGACGATCAATGCTTTTGAATGGGGACAAATGGCTGGATCCGCCCCTGACAATTTTTTATGTTACACAACATCCCGAAATCCAGATTAACATTTTAATCACTCTAAATTGATACCTGCATAATTTTGGATTTACATGTACATTATCATCTTACAAATATAGTTAATGTAATGGCATGCTCATAATGAAGGTGAACATTGTTAACCATTGTAATTTTTCTTTGACAGTATTGATTTCATTAGATTGATAGGTGTTTAACGCCACTTCCAGCACTATTGTGCTATTTCATTAGTTTTTATTGGTGGAGGAAGCCGGAGTGCCGAGAGAGAACAACCAACCTTTGGTAGGAAAATCTTTTGACAATACAAAAGTAACAATACAACTGTTTTACAGATTTGGACCAGCCACTTAAATGTGTTAAAATAAATGACTGTTTAGGATATAAATTCATAGTCAACAAATCTTAATCTTTGATCTTAGCAAAAAATATTGATAAAAGCATTTGTTAAGATTTGATCAATATTAATACAAGCAACTTTTCCAGAACATGAAAACCACCATTTCCTAAGGGATCAATCTCATATCTGGTATCTGTCTGTATCTTTATCTGTGAAAATATGTTGTAGCTCCCAAAAAATTTTGGTATTTAAACGATGATCAGAAAAGTTGTTAACCAAAAGCAGTTGCTATTCATTTAATCGTTTGCAAATTATAATACAGGTATGTATTTTCCCTAAAATCATTTTTTTTTGCACAATAAATCTTTATCTCAAACAGGTTATTTATATAACTATTTAATTTTGTCCCAATCTGTGATTCTTCCGGGGGAGTCAGAATCTCCCTCTCATTAATAATAATTCAAATCCTTGTTTTTTTCTTCAAAATTTCAACCCCAGAAAAATTGGTCAGTTTCTATTTTTCATTACCATTAATGTCATTCCTAATAACGTTTTTTGCATCACTGATGAGGGTAATTCTTACCTGTAAATCAAAGAACTAATGTAATTATATGGCTTCATTTGACAGATTGGGTGTCAAACATACTATTAATTAACTTCTTTCACCTCAGGCTAATTGCAGTTATGTAATAAAATTAAAGCTCTGTGTTGTCAACGTATATTTGTTCCGCCTAACAGAAGTTCCACTGGAAACTTTGTTATAAACAATGTCATAATATCTGTTCCTGTTGGAACAAATATTCTATACCATTTATTCCGTTAGGAACATTTACTGTAATATTTATTCCAGTGGAAATATTCCAGAATATTGTTTCCATTTGGAACTTATATTATGAAGGAACTTCTATTCCGTGACAGTGTATTTAAAACACTTGATAGAAATTTCGAGTTACTTCCCTTGTTTTACCATGCTCCAATAATGTAAATTGATGAAAAATATAAAAAAATACAAATTGATGAAAGAATTATATAAGGAAAGTAATTTAAAGATTTTAAATTTCTTAGGACAAACTAGATATCATTGAGATGGGTGCCATCTCTGTGGGCCCCACTGTGAATAATGTGTGGTAAAAAATTTGTATCTTTACCATAGGACATGGGGTTGTCAACTGAAACCAAAGTTTTTGACCTTGGCCTTTGACCTAGGAAGTTGTACATACATTATGACACACCCTCTGGTGTTGGTTAATATACATGTCAAGTATAAACTCTGAAATCGTAACAGTTCTCTAGGCATAGAGTGGACACAATTTGTAACGGACCGACGGACAGACGGAGGGATAGACGGATGGACAGACTGATCACTATAGGGAGTCCGCCATTTGGCGGGGCCCTAATGATGATGATGATGATGATGATGGATGGCTGCTTAACGTTCAGCTGCAAATTAATATGCATATTCAGGACGAGAACATGTTAATGTAATATGAATATAAACCCTGCTTTGTACTAGACCGACACGCTGAGCTGAATTTTAAACATGCTAGTTCACAAGTTCACAACAGTCCGCAGGAAGACACATCACCTTACAAGGACACATTATTTTGACTCTGCGCCGACCAGTCTTTGCTCTTACCCCTAAATGTTGCGTGCTTAGCTGAGAAGCAGCAAATACCAATTTTTTAGACTTCAGTTTGACCCGGCTGGAGTTCGAACCTACGACCTCCAGCACTCAAGGCGAACACACTACCACGAGACCACAGAGGCGGTTGGGACAAATAAGAAAATAATATGAAAATCATTTAAGTGATCTATAATTCTTTTCAATGCTTAAATTGAAATTGACATACTATCTATTTACATCTACCTACAATCAAGTCTAAAGTTAGCAGACCTTTATTTATCAGGATTTTACTCTTTTTCATAAATGGGTCGAGTTGGCAGACCTTTATTCATCGGGAGTTTACCCTTTTAGTTTTTCATACGTGGGGCAAGATGGCAGGAGTAAATTCATTGGGATTTTACACTTTTTCACAAGTGGGGCCAGTTGGTGAAAAAAGTGGGGTGATTTGGTGTGGGGCAATTTGGCAGTGGAGCGAGTCGTCCTGGATTCCTCTGTCACATGTACGTGCAACATGGTTTCCAGTAAAGACGACATAACTTATAGAGACTGTTAACCACTTTTCCCCATCATACATAACATGAATCTTTATGTTAAATTTCATTTACAAAATTGAGGCATTTGTATATATAATTTGTACAGTAACATGTTTATCCTTGAATTTAGTTAATGTTTACATTTTTCAAATTTGTATATCATTTATGCACGTGTTTAGCGTACTTACACGTCACCATGTTTTAGTCAATTTGTGATGTTAATAATATCTAACAGACTTGTCAATATTTGACTGTTGGTTGCATGCTTTTGGTTCGCACAAACTAACAACAATTTGTTTATCAAAATTGTAAATTAATCAGCCAGTAAAGTGGTCTTCCTGTTCTGTGGAAGGGATCGGATTCGGATTGATTAAGCCGTTCTGAAAATTACAACCAGTCCTAGCACATTTTGTTATTATTGTGTAAATAGGCTTAAGAAATAATTGCATTTATAGCCTCATAAATATTTTGTTACAAAATTTGTTACTTTGAACTAAAACAGTGGAAAATAATATCCGCTTTGAATTCCGTATTTGCTTTAACAATGATTTATAAATGAAAACTTCCGGTTGCTCCATGCAGACGAAGTCATGTTGCCAATATTAAAATTGGCCACTCTACTTATCAAACAGTTTACAAGACCCGTCGTAAATACCATCAGTGAATCGGCAAAGCAATACCCTAAATTTCGTTCAATTATTGTAAAATTAGCACAAAGTAAGAATTATAAAATAACCATAAATCATTAAGGTTCATCATAACAAATGGACAAATATGGCCGTATTTTCACCTCAAAAACTACTCTGTGTACAGACTTACCTGTGCAGTTTGCAAAGTTTTAAGGCCTGGCATCCACTAGATATATAAAAGTTAAATTTATTTTGCATATCAGAAAGATAAAATCGTTTTTGGATTTTGATGGGCATTTTTTTTCCTTTCTGCAGAAGATGTAAAAATAAACAAACACCTGAGTTGCATTTGATATGGTCCACTCAATTCCTACCTTTAACTCACCTATAGATGTGTAGATATCTATTGTCCATGCCAATCAAGGACAATCAATACAATACAAACCAGTTGTTACCTGAGAGGGAGCATCTCAAAATTGTTTCCCAACTTAGTTATTTTTAACACCTTCTGCAGGAACGAAAAAAAATGCCCATCATAATCCAAACAAGATTTCATGTTTCTGATATGCAATATAATTTAAACTTTTATATATCTAGTGGATGCCAGGCCTTAAAACTTTCCAAACTGTACAGGTAAGTCTGTACATAGAGTAATTTTTGAGGTGAAAATACGGCCATATTTGTCCATTTGTTATGATGAACCTTAAATGCAGTATTTGAACAATGACAACATACTTAGGTACATTGCATCATGTGGTCACACATGCACTTGTCTCTGAAAAAAAAACCCCAATATACTTCAATTTAACACAAGTACCAACTCTTATTTTTGAGAAATGATACTCATTCCTGAAATTTCGATTCTGGGGTTGTCTATCCCAAATTTTTATGGCACTGAAACTTGTTATGTCATAGATCTACATTCGATTATCTACAAAATGGTGTATAATATTACTATTTCTTTTGTTGGAATCATTAGTAGCAGGCCTTCCAAGTAGGTCAACAGTATTTAAATTATTCTCACAACGAAATGGCAACTTCTCTGAGGTCATAAACAAATATATGTCTGTTTACGGTTACCCGACTGACCCTAATTTGAGTGCCAACTGTAAGTCATTTTATTTCGTCCATAGAGTTAAAAATTAACTGAACTCGTGTCAAAAGCAAAGAGTTGCCAATGAATTTAAGCAATTGCCTGATGCATCCAAATGTTCACAATCGTGAATATGACAGCTGCTTTAAAGATTAATTGATTGATTGATTGGTGTTTTAATGCCACTTTCAACATTATTGTGCTATATCGTGGCAGTCAGTTTTTATTGGTGGAGGAAGCCGGACTGCCCAGAGAGAACCACCAACCTTCTGTGGGGAAACTGACAATCCTAGTCAATTAAGATTGGAGTTGAGTGCACCTGTCCTGTGCGGGATAGGAACTCAAAACCTCAGTGTTGACTGGCTAGTGATACAGTAGTTGGACTACTTGGACCTGTTATAAGGAAAATTGTGACTCGTGTGATGAAATGAACATGTTGCCGCCATTTTAATCCCTACCAATAATCAAGGGAAATAATCATTAAAATACAGGTAAACTCGGCCCATGGACAACTCAGACCACGGCAAGAGTGACTGCATGACTCAAAATCATGTCGCAAAAAATGAGATGAAAAAATAAAATAAAATGCATATACTGACCTACCTACAATGTACCTTATTTTTTAGACGACAGCAACATTTTTGTATTGGTATTATGTTATGGCAATGTCTGCATCGTCGTCCGAAGACATTTGTCATCCTAAGACATTTTGGTTCACAGACAATAACTCCAGTATAAGTGTATGGATCTCTATGAAAATTTTATCACATGGTTCCATACCGCAATAGGAAGGTTGGGATCGATTTTGGGAGTTATTGGTGAAGCTGTTTAGTAATTAGGGACCGAAAACAAGAATTTTCTGGTTCACAGACAATTACTGGAGTATAACCAATAAAAACAACATGTTATAAATTTCATGCATCCGAAGAGCTTTTCTGGATTTACCTTCATCAGGAACGCTCAATGCCAAATATTTGAAAGCCACGGATGAGAAAGAACAGAAACAGTTGAAGAGCTACATGTATACAACCAAAAAGGACCTAAAAAATAGCCAAATCCATCTATGGTCAACTTTGACATATAAGTGTATGGATCTCTTATGATATGTTAGCAAAAGGTTCCATACCATAATAGGAATGTTGGGATTGATTTTGGGGGTTATTGTTTTAACTGTTTAGGAAATAAGGACAAAAAAAAGGGGCCAAAAGCAAGCATTTTTTCTTGTTTCAGGACAATAACTTGTGTATAAGTCTTTGGATCTCTATGAAATTTTACCACAAAATTCCATACCTCAAAAGGAAGGTTGGGAGTGATTTTGGGGGTCATTGCCCAAACCATTTAGGAACTAAGGGCAGAAAAGGGAAAAAAAAAACTAGGATTTTCTGGTTTCTGGACAATAACTTGAGTATAAGTCTATTGATCCCTATGAAATTGTACATCAAGGTTCTATACCATTACAGGAAGGTTGGCATTGATTTTGGGGGTTATGACCCTAACTTTTTAGGAAAAAAAGGGGCCAAAGGGTCCAAAATTAAACTTAGTTTAATTAGGGCCCCGCCAAATGGCGGACGCCCTATAGTGATCAGTCTGTCCATCCGTCTGTCCGTCTGTCCGTCCGTCCGTAACAAATTGTGTCCGCTCTTTATCTAGAGAAACGTTATGATTTCAAAGTTTATACTTGACATGTATATTAACCAACACCAGAGGGTGTGTCATAATGTATGTACAACTTCCTAGGTCAAAGGTCAAGGTCAAAAACTTTGGTTTTAGTTGACAACCCCATGTCCTATGGTAAAGATTGTGTCCGCTCTATATCTTGAGAACCGTTATGATTTCAAAGTTTATACTTGACATGTATATTAACCAACACCAGAGGGTGTGTCATAATGTATGTACAACTTCCTAGGTCAAAGGTCAAGGTCAAAAACTTTGGTTTTAGTTCACAACCCCATGTCCTATGGTAAAGTTCGTGTCCACTCTATATCTTGAGAACCGTTATGATTTCAAAGTTTATACTTGACATGTATATAAACCAACACCAGAGGGTGTGTCATAATTTATGTACAACTTCCTAGGTCAAAGGTCAATGTCAAAAACTTTGGTTTCAGTTGACAACCCCATGTCCAATGATAAAGATACACATTATTCACAGTGGGGCCCACAGAGATGGCTCCCATCTCAATGATATCTAGTTTCATCAAAAATTGAATGATTGGTGTTCTTTTATATGCCAAATCTACCCATGTATTTAGATTTTTAATTTTGAGGCCTGTTTTCAAATTGTCCACATTAAGGTCCAAAGGGTCCAAAATTAAACTTTGTTTGATTTAAAAAAAATTGAATTCTTGGGGTTCTTTGATATGCTGAATCTAACCGTGTAATTAGATTTTTTATATTGGGACCGGTTTTCAAAATGGTCTATATGAAAGTCTAAAGGGTCCCAAATTAAACTTAGTTTGATTTAACAAAATTTCAATTCAAGGGGTTCTTTGATATGCTGAATCTAAACATGTATTTAGATTTTTGATTTTGGGCTCAGTTTTCAAGTTGGTCCAAACCGGAGTACAAAATTCAAAATTTGTTTGATTTCAACAAGAAATGTTTAACATTCTGAATCTAGCCGTGTATTTAGATTTAAGTTTTTTGGGCCCTGTTATCAAATTGGTCCACATTGACATTTAAAGGATCCAAAATTAAACTTTGTTTCATTTCATAAAAAATTAGATTCTTGGGGTTCTGTGATATGCTGATTCTAACCATGTATTTAGATTTTGGATATTGGACCATAATAGGTAAATGTCCATTTTCAAATGTTTAAGTTCTTAGACCACATTCATTCTTTGTCAGAAACTATGCTATGTCAGATATATAATCACAATCATATTCAGAGCTGTATTGCACAATTGATAGAAATTGTTAGAAGATTCATAGTTAAAAATAGATATAGCGTCAACTTCTAATTTTAGAAATCATGTATAAATATAGTTTGAAATTAGTACTGTTCATTATTAGATATCTTGAAAATAATCAAAGGTAAGTTTTGTAGATTTTTTAATGACATTGTATTAATGAGGAATGATATTTTGGAAATTGTTTTTTTTTTTCATTTTTTTGTGAATTTTTTGAAGAGCTTCATTGTAGGCTTTTTAGTTATTCTGTATAATTTAATTTTCAGAATGCTATAAATATATATTTTTTGATGAAGTGAACCCTTTTAAAAACTTAGTTAATATTGTCCATTAATAAATAAATAAATTAAATTCTTGGTGTACTTGGATATGCTGAATCTAACTGTGTTTTTAGATTTTGAATATTGGACCATAATAGGTAAAAGTCCAATTTCAAATTTTTCTGTTCTTTGACCACATTCACCCTGCGTCAGAAACCTATGCTGTGTCAAGTATTTAATCACAATCCAAATTCAGAGCTGTATGAAGCTTGAATGTAGTGTCCATACTTGCCCAACTGTTCAGGGTTAAACTTCTGCGTTCGTTTCAAGCTGTGCCCAGTGGAGTGTTTTATTTTATTTTACAATAACAGCAGTTTAAACGTGCTGTCTTTCTATTGTTATGTAGAGAATAAAAATAGAGAGGCAGCATGTATAAACTACTTTTATTGTATGGTCATATGAATAGGAACAAGAATCAACTAAGTGAAAATAAGTAGAAATTTGTAGAAATTAAAAAAAACAACTAATCTATACAAACATCCGGGAAAAAGGAAAAAAAGTCCATGCCCTCAAATAATGCCTGTGGTTTCACTAACGGTTGAAAAGTTCGAAAGGATAAGGCGCTTTGAATTGACTCTTGTGAAGGCAAAATAACAGATATATACAATTTGTCAAAGATAAAGGATTTCATTTAGTAACTTATGCTGATTTTGGTTCTGAGGACCAACTGTGTCTACCTGTGAAGGAAGTTAGAATTTATTCTAAAAAACCCTATATGGTCTAAATACTCATCTGGTCCGACTTGTCAAACGAGGATATACTCATACCATGTGAGTATACACAAATGGTCAGGAACATATACAAACTTTAAACTTTTCATTATTTTGAAGAAGATAAAATTATTTTTCCAATCCATACATGACTTTAACTCCTTAAAAGAGTTAAATCTATATTAAGGTAAATTTTTAATTGCATTATAATTATTTTTTCAGGGTATCATTTAAGTGATTTTACCTCACAAAGTAAACTTTTTGGTTTTGGTAAACCGTTACGAGTGAAACCATTATCTGAAGATGAAGCTCTAAATTTAGGAACCAGATTACTTGGAGAAACATTAGTATATGGAATTTCTGCAGGACTTTTGTTAGCTGAATACAATAGGTCTTCAAAAAATGATCAGATCAAGGAAGAAAAGAGAAAGTTTGAAATAGCTACACTTCAAAGAAAAATACATGATTATGGAATTGTAACAGAACAGCAAGCAACTGAAATTAAAGAATTGAGAAGAAAAATGTATCAATTAGAGGACAACAATAAGAGTTTAGCAAGCAAATTGTTTTCCTCTCTTAAAACAGGATAATATGTACCGGTAATTGTAATATATGTAAGAAACTACGTTTATACTAAAATAATAGTAAATGTACTCACAAAGTTTTCTATTATAAGTGTCTAAAGATCATAGAATCAAATATCAACATCATGTTACTGAATAGGTTATGGAATCTCTACAGGCCTCCAAATATGATCTGATCAAAGCAGAAGAGAGAAATTTTGAAATAGCAGTACTTCAAAGACAAATACATGAATATGGTAATACAACAGAACAGCATGAACTTTAACTTAATGAACTGAGGATGAAAATGCCTGATGTAGATAAAAGAAATCAGAGTTTAGAAAGTAACATGTTTTCATCTTTAAAATCAGGTTACTTTGTGATACAATATAATTCATTTATAATTTTAGGGCCTTACTTAACCTTACACATATTACATGTATGAGTGTTTAGATAATATGGAATCAAATATTGACATCATGTAACTTTCAACATTGATTTACAAAGATATATATTCTATTTTAATCAAAGAACAGAAAACTTAGTGTGTAATTTAGATGGTATTTAATATGGGAATGAAGTGATGAAAATTTAAGCATAATGTCAAACTTTTTTGTGAGGTTAAAACATTTTGATAATCAGGTTCTATAACATATATGCAATAGAAATGAGAAACAGAGAAGTATTTTAACTGAGGTTAACAACAATACATTTCATAGTAAAGCTTTTTTTTATTATTTTTTAAAGATTTAAATCTTGAATATATTTATGTATGAAAATGATGTCAAATCCAAGATAATATACAGTTTCTTTACTTATTAGTTTCATGCTATGATGATTTGTAATCATTTGTGGTTTCAAATTTCTGCAAGAGAAACACATTTTTATATTTACCTCCGAGCTTTACAACTGTGTTTGAATGTTTTACTGCCATTTTAGTCAGATGTATGTAAGTATTGAAATCTTCCTGTATTTTCTGACAATTTACTAGTCCTTTGATTCATTGTAAGATTAACTTTGAACCTCAATATTTTTTGATTATGAGAATATATAGATTGTTCATTTGTATGTAATGTTAAATTATATAAAGTCCTGGTGACTTTTGTTTTTGTTAACAAATTCATTGATCATAAATCTTGATATGTTAAATTAGAATTTTGTTTCGCCACTGTTATGATTACCTGCACTACATTTAATATGTAATTTTAACGACTGATATTGAATCTTATATTTAATCTTAATTACCAGGATTCACATACATCACTCTGTATCCCCTATGCTGGATATTTCAAACAGTGTAATGCAGATTGCAATCAGTGTACAGTCATTTGTGAAAGCTGAAACAAGTGACAAAGAAATACAACTGGATCCTGGAAAGATTTTGTGCTTAGATATTGTTAAAATAAAGAATTATCTCCCTTATCTGCAAGTTTCTTGAAACTAATACCAGTATGTATATGCTTTGCAAAAAGCAAGGGAATATTGTCCATCATTACTGGAACAGCAATTTTCTCCTTTTTTTAATTGAGAAATAATGAATGCATGCATACAATATACAATAAGGAAACACCAAACAATACTTAAGTATTCTTTAGACTTGATATCTGTCACCCTGTTTTATAGCCTTCTTATAAAAATGTTTTATGTCATGTAGGAATGCTTTCTATAAAAAAAATGTGGTTTGCTGTAAATTATTTAGTTTGTATACTATGTATTGCATAAATTAAAGATTATAGGTGTACTGCAAATGAAAACATTGGCACTTATAAAATGTAAATTGAAGGGTAATCTGCTATAAATAAATTTATAGAAATGGTAAATCAAACATCAGGAATCATGTCACTAAGGTTTTCTACAAACAATTCTGGGTTTGTTTTGGTTTGGGAAATCCTGTCCACAGAGGCAATCTTTCAACACAGATTGCCCTTATGCAATCCCTTCAAAACTGATCTGTTACCAGACTAAATGGTCTTAAATGTCTCTTGAATGTAGACAGCAAAAATTGTGGCAAAATTTGTAAAATTGTTTAGGAAGATAATTGTTCTAACCTATTTTGAATATACAATGACATACTACATTGTAGTATATGATTTGTGCAGTTGAAAGTAAATGAAGTATATTTACTGCATGATTTCTACATATAACATTAATATTCTACCTCCTTAAATAGAAACTCTTTAGTTTTGTTTTTTTTTCATATAAGTGCATAAAAAATAGTGAAAAAAACCTTTTTGTACAATTTTATGAAACTTCAAACTGTGATAAAGGAAGAAAGAATCCAGCTAACACATCACAAATTGTTGAAAAATTATATAAAATTTGTTCTTCTACAAGTAAAAACTATATTTTAAATGCAATTGTTCAATCTTTGTTACTGTCATCATCATCCATATGTAGGTACAAATGTTTGTTTGATAACATGGTTTATCTTGAAAAAATTGGAAGTAGCCACTGAAGGAAAATTGGAATTGCAAATAAAAATTGTAGCTTAACCAATTGTAATAAAAAAGAGGCTTGAAATAGCTTTGTCATTTTGTTTTATTTTTTTCAGCCTTCATGATTCATTTTCATAATTTTCATTCAGGGTAAAATATAAGTATTTCATAAGAAACACTACAATTCTTATTCAACCTCCTTATAAGCTATTATTTTTTCAAATGTAAATGGGCATTTTATATGTTTGCAATTTGTTTGTTTTGTTCATGAGTTACTCTAACTTTCTATAAATCTGTTCACTGTATGCAAAATTTGTTTTAAATTGTTTCTTTTGTGTACACAAAATAAAATGTTTTAAAAAAATATTTTTTGAAAATGTCACTAAATTTGTTTTGCTATTTTTCTATTTTAGCTATAATTAGCTAATATCATTGATGCATAATTTGAAAACTTTAGCAAAATTGAAGCCTGTAGAAATATATATAAAATATATGTTAAAGGTGGAGATACTTTAGATTTCAAGCTTTTAAAGTGTTCCAATAATGATCAATTGTTTTGTACCAGCTGTGTTTTTATAATAAGAACCTTCTGAAATGTTTTGTGTGCTTTTTGTAAAAACAGTACATGTTTTAATAAAAAAAATATGTGAATATATATAAATTGTCTGTTTTAGCATATTTACATTTTGTCATCAAAATGAAATAAGAGGATACCAGTATTTTGCCTTCCCACAAAAAAAGTAACTGCTTTGTAAGTCTGCTGATGTGAATTGAAATGGTTTTCCATCATGCTGGCTTACTTTGCTTGTCCATGAACATACATATCAACAATAATTTTAACTAAAAATATGGTTCTCATAAGGATAGTTTACCATTTGAAAGCTGTAATGTAAACTTGATCACATTTTCATGATACAGTGGAAGATTTAAACTTATAGTATTAAGTTGATTTTTTTCTTGGTAACTAATAGGAGGTAAATCTACAATATTTGGCATGTAGATTTTTTGAACAAGGAACTTATCCTTTCCCTGGTTTCAGAACTCCAAGAGTCTATAAAAAAATATAAACAAAAATACCAAACTCTATGGTAATTTCAAAAAAGGGGAAGTCCATAAAACCGGAGAAAATCAAACTCTCAACTATATGGTTTTATAGCTAGCTAAACCTCCCACTTGTATGACAGTTGTTTGTAGTTCTGTTATATTAACAAATTAGGTGAGCAACCCAAACATACATAATAAAAGGGACAATGATTAAGATCCAGTAGCCAAAACTATGTAAACATGAATCACAGACATACAAACTGATTAAAAAATTTGAACGAACATACAAATAAATCTGACAAAGAAGCAACACAAAAAAGGTTTTTGTAGTTGATGGTGTATACAGTATTGCAAAACATAATTTTATATACACTTTTCCAATAATTGGGATCCAGCAGCCAAAACCGTGTAACATGCATCACAGACATGCACACACAAATGACTTAAAAATTCAAACAAAAGTACAAATACATTTGATGCGTGATATACTTATTGTTTTTAATTTACCAGAGCTGAGAGGTGGGTAAAGTGATAATATTTTTTCATTTAAAGAACTTATATACATATTTTTCTGACTATACCCACTATTGCATGGAAAATGGTCAAATGATGAAGAGTTGTTCAATATATTGAGTTTTGCCCCTTTGAATTTAAAATAAATCAACTCTTGCTTACATCCTTTAAGACTACCACTGATATAAAGGGAGAAGATATGGTTATGCCATGGTGTTGCCAGTTTGTCTTCAACATAGGAGTTTGACTATCCCTTAGGTACATGTATCTTCTACCTCTCTCTTATCAATTCGTGACATAAAATCATTCACACACATGAAAAAGCAAAAACAAAGGAACATCTATTTTATAACTGTTCTTCATCTCATAACCACAATGATACAACATGAAGCAAAATTCCTCACCTCATTGCAAATTCAAAATGGCCCCTAGCCCTATTTTATGCAGTTTACAGATAATCACTTTACTGATGGACTGCTTGTCCCTTAGGGTATCACCAGCACAGTTACTGTCATGCAAATACGGATATTGTGTTATTTAGTTTTGATGTTTTAAAATTTTTGTCATTATTTTAAGTTAAGGAAATGTCTCCCTCCTGCAAAGCCCTGAATCCTTGCACGACTTGGACTACTAGTACTTTTTGTCCATTTTGGTTTTGTCAGCTCTTCAATTTTTTAATAAGTCAAATATTTTGACCTCGAGCATCACTGAAGAAACTTTGATTGTAGAAATGCGCATCTGGTGCAGTAAAATTAGTACATTAAGTGTAGTTACTACCACTGGGATGATTCCTCTGCTGGTGGAATGTTTGTCACTGAGGGTATCACCAGCCCAGTAGCCAGCCAGTGCTCTAGTACTGGCATGAAAATATGGATATTGTGTTATTGAAATTGATCGTCGAAATGCGCATTTAGTGCATCTAGTACCAATGTACAAAATACTTTTTATGACAAAAACATTTGCCTAGAAATATTTTTATAGCCTAGTTTAAACTGTTGAAAATCTGTTTCAAAAGTATCATGATAAAAAGCAATTAACCATATTTGATTACAAATGAAATGTTGTCATGAAATCTAAATGAAAATTATGTAGTGTCAACATTTTCAATAATTCATACATAAAAGTTGTGTGTTTCCATGTATGAACAAAGAAATTTGCCCTGAATGAATGAAGATGATGATTACTTTTGGATATGTTTTTTTTCAACTGATGATTATGGCTACAGCCGACTGCAGTCCAAAACTTGGTAGGTTCATTATTTAACTTTTAAGATGTTGTTTTTAAGACAATATACCTTGTTCAAATATTTCATATATGTTTGAAATGGCTATGTTTCACCTGATGCCTCTATTTCTACACATTATTTGGAACCAATGCAACTTCTTTCTGAGGGGTCCTTATTGGCTTGTTGAAAAGAAAACTTTCTGTCCCCTTTCTACTAACTCCTCATTTACCAGTTGCAGTCAAAATTTTCTGTCCTTCATGGCAGTAAAACAGCATGTAGTATTAATTGTTAATGTTACTGTACTTACTGCCCTGGACACCATTGTTAATATGTTCTCTTCTTAAACATGCATGAAACATTTTCCTCTGGACCGTATGCAATCAACAACAGATCAGTCAATCAATGTAATTGGGTGTTTTAAATAAAATATAAATCATTATAATAGCATTACTTCTAAGAAGTTTTATTGATAAAAAAAGTAAAGCAAGAATACCGAACTCCAAGGTGAACTCAAAGTTCATAAAATTGACAAAATCAAACGTGTGACTCTATCAACCAACGGAACTAATTGGAAACAACCGTCATATTCCTGACTTGGTACAGGCATACATTACAAATAAAATGAACTTTGCTTTATGAAAGAATTCATCTTTCCAGTTCCTAATGGTTAATGAATAGAGTTTCTTTAATGTTAACTTTTTTATGCAGATAATGCAGTAGTTGAAGACCTGTTGACAATGCTTGTTAATTATAAAGGACCGGGTAAGTTATTCAAACAATTTTTAAATGAGTAAAATGCTCCTTCCAAAAAACCTACAAGGCTAACGATGCTCAGCAATATTTTGTCTTCAGTTTTGATAGGATTTATTAAAACATTATGCAAGATAGTTTCCATTACCCATCCGAGCAAACAAAAATGCTCGCATCTCTTCCTACACGATTTATGAGATTTGAAAATCGGTAAACTACTGTCACCTTAATACATCAATATGTATACACGCTAATGAAGTAATGGTCTCTGAAGATATTTAAAATGTAATTTTCACAAAAGCAGTGTATAAAAACTTTGGTGTTAAATCTAGATTTTTATATTCATATAGATTTTAGAAACACCAGAAAATGGAGAGATATTCCAGCCTTTACTGCATCTTTATTAAATGAAAAGAATATTAATGCCAAAGAAATTGTGAAGTTTGACAAAGTTTGGACTAACAATGGAAACCACTACGATCCTAACACGGGAATTTTCATAGCTCCAAGAGAAGGGCTGTACCATGTATCCACTACAGTCATGTCAGTATCTGGAAAAACTGTTTATGCTCACATTTGGCAGAATGAAACAAGGACTGTTGGTCTGTTTCCTGGTACCGGCTATAGTGAAGCTACTGCTAACATTGTGTTACAACTAAGTAAAGGGGACAAAGTTACTGTGAGAGGTTCTGGTAACCATCCCTATCTATACAGCAGTTCTAACCACTACAGTATGTTTTCTGCCTATCTCATAGCATAATAAATGCACACGAAATGAATGAAGTTTTACTTAATTAAACAAAAAATAAAATTCTTTGTTCTGTTTTCTTTCTTCAAACATGTTTGAAATGATGCATTTTGCACAGACACATATATTTTGTTGAATATAAGATAAGGAGATGTAGTATAACTGCCATTTAGACAACTATGAAACAGAGTCTAAAATGAAGTAGACTTAAGTACTTAATTATAGGTCACCGACTGCCGTCAACAATAAGCATAAACCATACCATATAGTCAGTAATAAAAGGCCCCGACATGACAAAATGTGGAACAATTCAATCGGAAGAACCAACGGGATGATTTATGACAAAGCAAGGTATATCGCTTTGTATCTTTTAATTTTTTGTTATGTCGTTAGCTTGTTGTCTCATAGACACATACTCAACATCTCTATATTTTCATATGTCAATCAGACGCCGTGAACTGATGACCCCTTTGGCTTCTGTGTTGTAGCAATTAATGAATATACAGCTTAAGTCAGTGCTAGTGACATTACGGCGTGAGCTTAGGTTTAGTTCCTTTGATATTTTGATTTTGTCAAAGCTTTTTTTTTTTTTAAATTTCTGATTCATTTATATTTTTAAGTCATCATCCAAATGACACTGCATAGTTCTGACATTACAATCAAAAGTGACTTGTTGGTTGATGGGAGAACACACACACTGTATTCTAGATACCATATTAATTATTCTGTCCTAGTTTTATTTAAAATTCGTCCAATGTTTTTAGAGGAGAAGGTATTTAGACAACGGACTACAATGAGGGTAATGGCA